GCTTTCCCGTATAAATCCCCCGTGCCCTCATTTCAAATCCTAATACTGGACCTCCCGATATTATTCGCAAACCATTCCCAGTTCCAATGCAACCAAATACGTATCTCCCGTCCACCTGTTCACGAACCACGTCGGCCAAAGTGTCACCTGGGAATAGTCAGAATGATGACACTCCACAAGGTATGAAGAAAGCTGCCGAACTTGCTCACGATCCATTACCGAATACCCCAGTACCGAAGAAGAGCAGGAAACAGAGAAAAGAAGACACCAAGCTCCCAGCGGAAGCGAACCAACCCTCCACTTAACACATACTATCACACAAAACTTTTACAACCTCACATATACCACGTTGACTTCAAAATTGCCAAACCTAAACCCTAAATATAAGCCACAGATTCATTCATTCTATTCACCATAATCCTGTATTGTAAACGAGTTAAACTAGTACTGGAAACGGAGACGACCCAGAGGGCATATGAATACAGTATTTTTGATATTTTACGATTTAAAAAAGTCAAAAGCTTTCCCGCCTCTTGGATCTTGGATCTAGCGGTAGTTCGCATATCAGAACCTCAAACCATTGGTACAGAAAGTACAGCAGGACCGTCGTGCCGACATGTACACTACCGCTGTAGAGATCCGTACACTACCGCTGTAGAGCCATTAAGAGCCATTAGCCAATCAGAATCGTTCTCGACGTGACGTCAGTCGACTGACGTCAGTCGTGCACGTCAGTCGTGCACGATATTTCGCAATCTTTCTCTGTGTCAGCTCGATCAGTCTCCCGTCGTTTTTTTCCGTGTTGTTTTCGTGTTGTTTCGAAAGACCGACGGAGCATGCATCCAGAGGATTTCGCCAGAGGATTTCGACATCCAGAGGATTTCGAATTTGAGCGAGATAGTGAAGCAAGACAATAAAACCGAGGTCATCCCTTCCGTATTCAGTAGCCGCAGAGGTACTTCGCAGAGGTGTACTTACCGCATTCAGTAGCCGCAGATTCAGTAGCCGCAGAGGTACTCCTCACCGCAGCCGAGGACATAGCCGCTTTCATCGCAATCCTCCGAAGACGATGAGTGCGAGTACGAAAGAGGCGCCGGCTGGTAGCCAGCCCCACCATGCACGGCCCTCAGAACAATTGGAGCAGGAACCAGAGCCCCATGTCCCTCTATCAGGTCAGTGTTGTCAACCGGTGGTTGGATCCTTCAAAAAAACTGAGTGCCAAGCAGAAAGAAGTCTTTGATAACTCAGTCGAGCACGCAATCGAGCACTATGGTAGCGCCGCCAACACGGACAAGTTGCCGCTCGCTGCGGAATCATTCGATCAAATGCACTTCAACATGATGCGACAGGGCAACGCTGGTCTCAGGGGTAGGCTGAGGCCCCAGCATGCCAAAGCTTTGCTCAGAGAGGGGGGTCAGCTGGTTCAGATGGCCGCCATCAATCAACATGCGGCTGGCAAGAGAAAGGCTGCTCCAAAGCAAGGCGGTCTGACCAAAGCCAAGCTGTTGGACTCCTCCACAAGCTTCGCAGACATGAAGAATTGGGCCAGGGTCCTGGGAAAGTCCATCCAAAAGACAAAGCCGAAGATGAAGGAGGTTCTGCTGCAGTGCTTTGAGGGCAAGCCAGAAGGCCATGTGTTCCACTCCCACTAGCTAGCTACCCTGGTGGTTGGGCCCCAAGGGGCCCAATCTTTGTGGTTCTAAGCCCCCTGCGGGGGCTCAACCTTTATTACTAGCAAAAAATTTTTCGGATCTCACTAATCACGCACAGCGTACATTGTACGGCAGCATTTGCAGATTTCAGACAACGTGCCTCTGAACCATACCGTAGCGACCATGGCGACGTTTCCTCCCCCTTCAATCGCCGTTGACGGTATCGTTGACAACTGTGAACAGGCAGAGATGATGCCAAATTGCGACCCTGCTGTTCCTGTACGAAAGGGTGACTTGACTGAATCATGACATTGCCAAATTTTGGCCCATCGTCGGCTCGACTCGACTCACACCGTTTTGCATTCTTCCATAATGTATGTTTTCCATTGTAGATTGTGGAAATGGCAGCCTTGCTATACCATGGCGACACCATTCAAGCGCGTCATTTGTACCGTCGTTACCGCGAAGGATGTCCCGCCGAAGTCCAGGCCGCGCTAGAGGCATGGTGGGGCCTCGGTCGTGCCATGATGGAGTACGATCTTGCGCAGATCTGGCCTCGATTGACCCAGTTACAGCAGCAACAACCCAAACCATACTGTAATTATGCCCAAGAAATTGGAACAGCATTGTGTCGTCGTTTGCTTCCCAAGTTGGCGTCGATTTGGAATAAGAGCAATGCGAGCGTGTTGCTGGGATTGCCACGCCAAGAGTGGAATGTCTTTTTGGAATCTCAGCGCAAAGCTTTGATCGAGGATGCCAAAAACAAAACTCCAAAGTTGGGATCAGAGCATACAACCGATATTATTGCCTTTTTGGAAAGTCCAACGTTGCGAATCTAATGGACGACGAGCAGGGAGAGAGTTCACGGATACTGTAGATACACGAATCCAATGCACAAGTTTCTCTTGACAACCTAGCTGCAACCTAATACAGAAAAATACTGGAACGTTCCAAAGATGCTGCAGTTGATTTGATAGAGGATCACTGGCGGTGGCAAAGCAGTCATGTTCAACAATAGACGACAGAATGGCGATGGACCCTGCAAAATTCAGGAGTACTTTTGAAAATAAAACAGCAATTTGAGGTAGCCGACATTGAACCAGGCTCTATTGGCAGCAGAAGCATTTTTTAGTAACGAATCTGTACATGCAATACTGGAGCAGATATTTTTTGGAAGGTGCGGAGCACAAGAACTGCTGGTACAGTTCATTCCTAACCGTCTATGATTATCAGAGCTTCTACCGGTACTCTGAGCGTTTCTCTACTTTTAGAATGGAGCATCTTGTCCATCAAAAGTGCAACCACTCCATGTGAGTGGCGCCCTTTAGAAACCGGGGTAGCAAGATCACACAAAACCCAAGACCACGGCTACGGTACAAATGTTATCAAGGTAGGGCCCGTTTGGAGCTGACTGTACTACCATAGGCAAAAAAAAGGTAACAGCTGCAGGAGGAGGCCGTCTTTGGAGCAGGATTGGATTGGCCTGTAACGCCCATTCTAGCTACCGGTGGCGACTATGAGCCATGGTATCGGGTGAGAGGAATGAATCTCTCGTACCGGTACACGTGCAGAGTCTCTGCCAGAGCACGAAGTTGGCAACCACGGAACCAGGCCTGCACCACCTATTCTTGACAGATCAATTAGTCAGCTTTCCCTCCACTGGCCAATACTGTACGAGGGAAGCTATTTAGCTAGCTACCGGTTCCGGTGCCGGTACCAATAGCTGGCGAAGGCACTGGGCGTACCGATACTGGGTGTAATACTGCAATGAAGGGTATCGCCAACCACGAAGTTGGCTAGGTTATAATTTTAGTTTTTAGTCTGTGGTCGTAACGTTTTAGGGTTATGGGTTTCCACAGGTTGAGCCTTTAGCATGGTGAGGTATTGTACTAGTACGGTTCCGGTTCTGGGTAGTAGTAGCTTTAGCTTGGTACAGTAGGGTTCCAGGTTCTGTTACTAGTAGCTCTAGCTTGGTAGGGTACGGTTCCGGGTCCAGGTATGGTAGTTTAGCAGAGCCATGGTACTTTGACTGGAACTGGGTATTATGATGGAAGTTGGGGAAGATCTGAGAGAGTTTGGCATGGTGAGGTACGGTTCCGGGTCCGGGTACTAGCTAGTAGCGGGTCCAGGTATGGTAGTTTAGCAGAGCCATGGTACTTTGACTGGAACTGGGTATTATGATGGAAGTTGGAGAAGATCTGATAGGACGGCCAGAGCTGTCACTGGCTGGGAACTGGGGATGGAGCTAGTTTAGGGAGAACTGTTAGGGCTATGGTATCATTGGCTGGGAAGGAGCTGGGAGAACTGCGACGGAGCCACATCACTAGCTGGGAGAGTTGCTTGCTAGTAAAGCAAGCTCTTGCCAGTGGCCAAGCAACTGACAGCCCTCATTTCAATTTCAGTGGTTGGCGCCACAGGAGGCCTCTTGTTATATTCCGTTTGGCTTCCACGATAAAGTCCCACGGGATCGCTCTGTAAAAGAGGAACTTGAGGCTCGACTTTGATAGTCAACAACCTGTCATGCTGGCTTCAGAAGCAACGAATGAGAAGATTCAATCCAACAAAAATTTAAGTACCAAAATGGACAAATAGACATTTTTGAATCCCACTCCTATAATTGACCTTCTTCTAAATTGAGTAATTAGGCCACCGGAAACGTTTCAAAAGCTCTTTTTGTAACGACCGTTTCTCATCTCTGTCTCCGCAGCGTCAATTGCACATGCCGTGGGCACTCCACCAAAGGAACAAAAAGAGAGACAACTCACATCATCGCAGCAACAAGAGAGTGAGTGGAGTCATCTTCACAGCAGATCGAACCTGGACGACTCTCCCCTTTCTTTCTCCTGGACAATCGATTCGATTCATCCCATAAAGCTAGCTATTTGCTTGTTGTTTGCCAGGTGTTCATAATTTGGATCGACTTCTTCCCAAGACTCGTTTCCGTTCTACCACAAGATATCTAGCTAGTACCGGTATTATCCATGAGCATCATGGTGGCGATCAATGGAGACGTAAAGGCCAGCGGCAGGACGATGAGCAGAAGTAAAAGCAAGCAGTTCACCATGGTGGTTGTCGGATTGGGTCTGATTGCACTTCTATTGCTTCGATCGACGGGTAGTAGCGCTGGCAGCAGTGGATACCCCAGCGGTTCCATCACCCCGCCAACCACGTACTCCAGCGATCAGAGAGCCACAAGCAATGTGGAATACGACAAGTTTAGCAGTCGGAAACGCAAGCCAGAGAGACGAATTCGTCAAATTTCTCTCATTGGGGAGAGAAACTCGGGGACTCGGTGGACTTGGAAGTGAGCATCTTTCGTCTTGAGTGACATTGCAGTTGCCAGCTGCTTATTGGATTATCTAACTCTCTGTGATTATTTCTGGACATATTTTCCTATGTTATCAAGTCATTTGGAAGAATGCTTTAATCATTCCATTCCGGTGCGTTGTCCATTTGCTACCAGCGAGCTGCCCGAGTTCCCTCATTATTCTCACTGCTTGTTTTTCTTCCTCCTTCTCTCTGCAACAATAGGTTGAGCGACACTTGACTCGATACAAGCACTGGTTCCAATATCCAAACTACACTGCCTACCCTCATGATACCCTAGTCATCGCTCAATTTCGTAACCCTTACGACTGGTTAAAGGCTATGCAACGGGTGCCTCATCACTCCCCATCACACTTGAAATTAGATTGGAAACCATTCTTGACCACTCCCTGGACGGCACCTCGCTTGGGCGCCGATATTGAAATTGCAAAAACCATCAATGAATCCAACAATAGTACCGACACGACACCATGCCAACACAACTTTATCTACCAAGATATCGTCTCTTGTGTGAAGCGTCCTCTTCCCGAATCAGCGTATGATCACAAGCTACGCTTTTCAGAAGACACACCATTTTATGAAATGCGAAATGATGGCAGCGGATTGCCCTTTGACAGCATTATGGGCATGCGAGCTGCCAAAATTGAAAACTTTTTGGCCGTTCAGGATTACCCTGGTATTGCCGCCGTTTGGGCTGTCCAATACGAATACTTGCTACAGCGGGGTACACAACACTTGGTGGATCGCATTTCCGAGTGGACCGGAATCGATCCGAAATGTGAGGCCTTCCAGCCTCAGCTTCGTCGAGACCGACCTCTCGAAGCCGAGTTTGTCGAGTACGTTACTGAGCATTTGAATTGGACGGCTGAAGAATTGATTGGGTATGGCAAGTACAAGCAACGCTTGGCACCAAAGGAACCTGAAACCGAGTCACAAGCTTGAGCCATTGCGGGCGCTGCTGGGAACATGGAGCTTGTTCATCTCTTAGTTCATATTGTCTCAAAACGATAATTAGAGTATTAGATCCATCTAGTCTAATTGTAGCTAACAGAATCGTTTGTATCGTCAAGTCTGGAGTTTGCTTCAATACAGTATCCTTGTCTTGGAACGAATAAGACATGGACAACACAGATGGTTGGAGCCGTGGAGGTCGTAACGTCAATCGGAGGTACACCACGGCGAGCACTGGTTCTTCCCAATCAATTGCACCGAAGCACACAAGAAAAACCGTCTTCAACTGCCTTACACATAGGTACCGGTATCGACGCAGGCAGCATGCTTTGCTTAGTTCCCATTCACAAAAGATGCATACTTGAGGTTGGCAATGGCAGCTCTCTTGTCTTCAGCCTTGAACACACCTCCACCAGCAACAAGCACGTTTGCTCCGGCAGCAATGAGCTCAGCAGCATTTTTCTCGCTCACCCCTCCGTCAACGGATATATGAAGATCAGGCTTCAGTGCTCTCAAAGCTCTGATCTTCTCAATAGCGGTCGAAAGATACTTTGGTCCACCATATCCTGGATTCACCAGCATTACCACTGCTACTTGGCACTGATCCAGAACGTGCCGAACTGCACTAATTGGTGTTCCCGGGTTGAGCACCACACCTGGGGCGACACCAGCCTTATCGATCATGTTGATAACTGCCCCCAACTGGAGCGTGGATTCGGGATGAACAGACAAAATATCAGCTCCAGCCTTTACAAAATCAGGAACCCTATGCTCGGGCTCGATGCATCCCAGCTTGACATCAAAAACCACATTGTTCGGAAACGCTTCGCGGCAAGCTGCAACCATGGGAGCTCCAAATGAGATTTTTGGTACCATACGACCGTCCTGAATCTGCAAAGAGAAAATGAAAGTGTCAGGTTCACTGGCAAATGGCCATCCAATTGGAAAACGTCATTCGCGCCGCTCTGCTTCAGGCTTGGACTCACCGAGAAGTGCAACCACTCCGCACCTGCTTCGACTGCCTCCGACAAGTCCTTGCCAAGGTTAAGGAAGTCTGCTTTGGCCACGCTTGGTGAAACAATTATGTTTTGGCTGTTCCCAAGCGAAAGAGCATTGCTCACGCTCCAAACAGAGGCAAGGCAAGGCAACAGCGCAACAGTGATGGATCTTGTCATGGTACCGAGAGAGCTTCTGGCCTGAATGGAAAAGGAGATTGGACTTTCCTGTCACAGAACAATTATAAGAATGAGAGCAATGACAACCCTTTCGATTGGGACATTGGGACCTCTGTTTGGATCTTCTCGTGTCAAAGGAAGAACCAAGAATTTTAGCCACGTCATACTTTTTTTCCGACGTCACGCAGAAAAATTTCCATTTGATGGTTTTCACTTGTATTGTGTCAATCTGATAGATTGTGAGTTTGAATCGAATCATGCAACTATTTTAATTAAAACCCCTGATTATGTCCTTTCGGCAGATTGCGTCACTTAAAACTGTTTGTTGCTAAAAATACTTTCGTTTGTGTCTTTTCGCAGATTTCTACTATTTGTTGACTTGGACCACTCTTGGTCTTGGGGCCAAAAAATGTCATTTCACCTTTGTGAACCAAATGGCTGATAATCACTCAAATTGACTCAAATCCCAATTCCAGCCTCAATTAGCCAGCAAAGTTGAGTGAACCTCTCGGATTGGCTTGGCTGGGCCTCTGGCTAGCTAGATCCAGCCGTCACATAGACTGAGACTACATACAGTACTAAGACTATGGCCTACTAGCTAGCATCTAGCTAGCTAGACCCGTGTTTCTGTACCAAATCCAGTGTCCTCGAGATTTCCCCACATGTACATGTATGTAGCTAGCTAGTGTGGTGCGTGCGGCATCTGCCAGAGTAGGCATCATCCTTGGCTTCGGACCGTAGCCCCAGCCATTGAGAGACATTTCTGTAGCAGGAGGAACACGGCGACGGGTACCGGTGCCGTTACTGCCATACGGTAGCGCCAAGGGGGTGGGGGTTATAAAAAGAGGAATGAACAGCTGAACACAAAGAACGAAAGAAAGAAGTAAGTGATCTTTGCTCTGAACACTCCTACCGATAACATGAGTGCTGGCTGTACCGTAACACCGTAACACCCGCCCCGACCCCTGTAATGGCTTACCATCAACCTCAAGACCGCGACAGATCATCCGAAGGGTTTCTTTGCTGAAAGACTCGCTGCTGACCAGGATCGGAATCACCAAGGTCTTGACCTGTTATTGCTTTTTGCTTGAGGATTTGTAGATTGCATTTGATCGAGTGACCTGACCGTCCGTGGATGGTTCCCTTGATCAAGACCATTGTCTTGGCCTGATAAGCATTCATGCAGCAGCAACTATGAATGGTCTTGGTCTGTTTCTTGCATCCATCTGATAGAATGGATGGTCGCGGGCTCTCTGAACGATTGATCATTCGACTCCACTCATTCGATTGGAATGAATACGATGATCCAATCTGCTGGTACCTACCATCAGAGAAAACATCACTTCTCGCCATCATCCTTGATACCGTATTAGTATCTTACTCATTCGCCCTAAAAGTTGCAGGCAAGAAGCAAGTACAAGTACAAGTACAAGACTTGTAAAGTTTCCTGAAATCTGAAATTGGCCCCTAAAAATTACATGTTCAAGTGAACTCGAAAGGACTACCAAACTTGTGGCCGTCTATTTTTCATACTATAGTCCGTGCACCTCCCTTCCCTCTCTGTTGGCCTGATGTGGCTAGCACAACTGGATCATTGGCCAACCTTTGTTATGCTACCGGTACTGTACCGCTAACTTGCATCTCGATGCCACTGCACGAGTATCTTGCAACTTGCCGGTTGCCTCCGTGCTACAGCTGTAGTACTCCGTACCATACGGTACGTACGGAAGACCTGTACTACAGTAGACAGTACGGTAGTAACACTCCGCTGGTGCCACGAATTTTTTGAAACGACAGCTCACTTCTCCTGCATCCTGCTTCCACAAAAGAGGAGACCGGTATCATAAATCACAAAATCAAAGATTCTCTTCCAATGCTCCGCACGTTAAATATCAAGTTTTCTTGAAAGTCATCCTTCTTAGACACGATAACGATTTCAAGGTCGCGCAAGAAGCTCACAAGAAAGAGGAAGACAACGGACACGAAGATTGCTTCCGGCTATGTTGTGGTACGACTCCTTCAAAGATTCTCAGATCAAAGATCTCTCTATCTCACAATTTCAATCTGTGCTGACAGCGAAAACACATTTTAAAACAACCCAACCAACCAACCAACCAACCAACCAACACAACAATGAAGATCTCTCTTTTTGCCGTTGCTGGCTTGGCCTCGCCCTTGATGATACAGCAAGCTGCTGCCAGTGGCAAAGCGACTTATTATGGTGGAAATGTGGGCGGGAATGCTTGTGGATTCAACAGCATGAACACCGGATCCTTTCCCTATGGATTCGGTGCTGCGATTGGTGGCAACAATTTCAACAATGGATATGGCTGCGGTGGCTGCTACAAAGTCACGTGCCTTGGCCCCTATGGCAATAACCCTTCCTGTCACTGTCACCCAGATCACCCAACTGTTACCGTATGGGCGTAAGTGTGTCGAGGATTCTACTGTTGTCGTTTGCCATTTATGCTGTACCGTATCGACTAACGCCAGGACTCTCTCTCTCTCTCTCTCTCTTTCTGCCCATTCATCTGTCAGCAATGATCAATGCCCCGAATGCGCAGATGATCACATTGACTTGAACACAGAGGCTATGGAGTACATTGTTGGCGATGGGTAAGTGGATGCCTTGGCTTGAAAGGGTTTAAAATGCACAGGAGCTTTGGGTCTCACTCACATTGTCATTTGCTTCACTTTGTCTGTACGTCATAGATTGGCTGGCACATGTGGAGAGATTAGCATCGAGTTTGAGCAGGTCAATTGCGACTTCGACGGCGACATTGCGGTCCGATCCAAGTCTGGCACAAGTGCCTACTGGTATGGATTGCACGTGGACAATGTAGCTGGTTATGGAGCCATCAGCAGTGTTACCCTGGAGGAAGAAGGAAACACTCACACCTGCGCCAAATCGGAAGGTCCTTCGTTCTGGAAGTGTAATTTGATTTTATTAATGTACCTGCAACGGTCCCTATGGATGTCACCTTGACAGATCAGGGAGGACGGAGTCTGACCTGCAATGGTTGCATTGACAACTTTAACGGCGGCACTTCCTATGGTTTTGGAGACAACTTTGGATCTGTATTTCCCACTGGTGGCACTCCAACTGCGCCGTCGCCTACTGCTGCCGCGCCTACTGGCAGCAGTCCATCTGGTCCGTCGCCTACTGCTGCATCGCCTACTGCTGCATCGCCTACTGCTGCCTCGCCTACTGGCGGCAGTCCATCTGGTACAGATTGCTGGTAAGTCACTTTTCGCCCCTGCACAGTGAAGTTGTTGCGTCATTTTTTGGCATAATCTCATTTTGGTCCGCATATACCATTGTTTGTTTCTATAGTACCTGGAACGGACAGGATTGTGGTGGTAGTGCTTATTGTGATCATAGCAAGTCCAGATGCGAGTGTAATGGTGAATCCCATTGCGAAAGCGAATGCGGCGGCCAGTGGCTCGCAGATGTGGGGGATTTTGTGCTTGGCGATCACTGCTGGTAAGTACAACAATTTGAACGCTGCAAAAATAACGATTACTTTTCTCACCCATCTTGTGTTTAACGTACACTCCAAACAGCTCATGGGACACGGCATGCGGGCCTGACGATTACTGCAACACGCAACAATCCAATTGCGAAGTCGATTGCGGCGGAAATTGGATCGCAAATCCTGACTACGGCAACGGCGGATCCAACCCTGACCCAACTCCAAGCCCCACCAAGGCACCGGTTCCTGACCCTACGCCAAGCCCCACCAAGGCACCGGTTCCTGACCCTACGCCAAGCCCCACCAAGGCACCGGTTCCGGCTCCCACACCCGCTGCAGGTGGCAGTGGATACTGCAACTACAATGGCTGCAATGGCGTTCACGAGGGAGGGGACTGGTGCAACGCTGAACAGTCCAGGTGCGAAGGAAACTGCAATGGTGTATGGTGCAGTGGTGGACCCAGCCCAGTCGCAAGCCCCACGGATGCACCAGTGTCATCACCGACACCTGCCCCAGTTCCCACCGCTGGTCTCATCCCTGGAAGCACCCATGGAGAGCTCACTATGTGGACAGGATCCGAGCCAGGTCCTCTAATGGGTGGAAGCTGTGAGTATGCAATGGCCGACTCTGTTTCGGTTGGAGACCACTGGTTGGATCCCTATGTGAAGCAAAAGATGTACTGTGCTGTGAGCGCTGATCTGTATGCCAATGGTGTCGGCTGCGGTAAATGCTACCGTTTGGTCTGGGATGGTTCCGAGCCTGGAACGGACCCTGGAACTCCCGGCAGTGCCGAAATCCAAGTTGTCGACTCTGGAGCAGGCGGTGATTGGCACTTTGATTGCTTCCTTGATGCCTTTAGTCAAATTGTTGGAGCTTCTACTGGAATCTTCCCAATTACCTACGACGAAGTCCCTTGCGATCCCAGCCCCGCCACAGCCGTCATCAAGGATGGATTTAACGCCTACTATGTCAAGGTTTTGATTGCTGGTGGAACCACTGGTGTCGCTGCTGTGGACATCAAAATTGGTGGCGTCACGCACCCTATGTTCAAGGTCTCAGGTGCAACTTGGGCTGCAAACCTCGGTGGGTTGACAAACACCGACGTTGGATACTTCATCACCTTTGCCGATGACACCACTGAAACGTTGACGGGCTGCCATGGCGGAAGCTGGCCCGTGGCTACCGGATCATACTGTACCTAGATGGCTGAGTAAGAAAGGAAGCAAGCAAGCAAACAAAGAATGAGACAGTGATATCAACAATGCGCCAAAGAGAAGGGAAGCTCGGCCACTGTGTGGTCTGTTGGGCACGCCTTTTCACTTCAAAGAAACTACAAAATCATGCATACCACTCAAAAGTGCAATCATCATCCACAATACAAAAAACTAAGTTGCAATCATCATACATATATTACAAAAAAAAACTAAACTAAGTTAGACTTACTTTTCTTCATGTTGTATTACATGTATCTCAAAGACCTTCACTTTGCCGGTACCTTGGAAGCCAACTATTGTCCTCTCATGTTTGGTTTCGGCTTATGTAGCATTGTACCGGTATGTGTCACCCTCCATGGGGTGAGAACGAAGAGGTTAGATTGGGTTAGAGGGGACTATGGTGGGAATGAATTCACGCAAACAGGATGGTTGCACGGTGCAAGCACGGGCACCAGGCGGACAGCCAAGATCGAAAGTGATGGGATTATTACGGTAGGATTTGACGTTGTGTGCAAATCAGCGCTGCTGGCTAACAGTAGAGGCGCGAACTATTTCGCGCTTTTTCGAATGAAAGGTGAAGCTGAGGGGGATCATTGCTTCAGCCATTATTATCCTATCATCATCATTGTTTTAGATTTTGTCACCATGGCCAGCTTCTTTACTCCTCGCAACAAGAGTTCCAATTCGTCTTCTTCCTCTTCCGCCAGAGTATCTCCAACTCCAGGCAGACAAAAGAAGACATCCTCTCTCAAGACATCCGCGGCAATTGTCGTCACTCCAGAGTGTGAGGTCGTAGTTTGGGCCAATAGTCCTCGGTCTCGTGAAACTGTGAAAGATCGATGGAGGAACACTTTGACCTACTATTCCTTTTGCGATGATAAGCGTTTCACCAACTTGGATTCTCTGCTGACCCAATTGGCGCCCTTATCGTTGTTGCACATTTGCAGTACGGAAAAAGCCACCATGGACAAGGCAACCACGCCAGCAGCGCGCAAAAAGGCCAAGCAAGTCCAGCAACTGCTACAAACTCTACAGCGGATGATTGATACTCGACCTGATTTGACAGGCGACGATGACGACGATGAGGACCAAGGCTTGTCAGCACCAGCACCAACCACTTTGGCCGAAGTGCACACCAAGTTTCCATCCGTGGACGCTGGCCGGATTGATGGCTGTATGAATCAGTTGCTCTTGCCGTCCAGTAAAATATCGTATCGCGGAAACGTCCAAGTCGCATCTCATCCCTGGATTCAAAAGGCACTGGGATTCTGGTTGCAAGCCGAAGGACTCTTGTCGGGAGGCATGCCGGATGACATGATGGACCGTTTTCATCTCCAGCAGGGAGCCATGAACAAACATTTGCTCTTGGATCGAACTGCCGCGGATTGTATTCACTTGTTACCTCCTCCCAATGCCGGTGTGGCCACTCAAGTGGGAGGAAGACCCCACAACAATTCCTTGCTGGGTATTCTCAGTCAGCCGGCCAGGACCAAAATGGGCAAGCGACTCATTGAACAGTGGTTGCGACAGCCTCTGGTGGATCTCAAGGAGATTATGTATCGACAAGATTCTGTACACCATTTGGTGGAAAATGGAGTTGGAAGAGATCAGCTACGTGACGAAGGACTGCGCAATTTTGCGAGTATGGATATTGGCAAACTGGCACAAAATCTTGGGCTCTATGAGAAAGCGTCAACCGAAGACGATGCACCCAACAAAAATGACATGGCACCCGTGGTGGGGTCGACTCAAAAAGCCTTGCAGTCGCTCTACCAATTATATCTCCTCAAAGCCCAGAAATTGCCCATGTTGCTAGAGTCTCTTGTCGCTGTGGTTTGCCCGGACGGCGAAGATCCAGCCAGCATTCCCAAAGACGCGGAAGAGCAGACCATGCTGCAATCAATCTTTGTAAATCTGCAGAAAGCATCCAACGAACTTTCCCGGTCCCAGGAGTTGGTCGAAGCTGTCTTGGATTTGGACATTGCTCCCAGGGAATACTTGATCAAAGCAGCTTTCAAGGACGAGTTAGTAGACATCAAGACGGAGTTGGGCAATGTGGAGGCCAGCATTGAGAGCTGCCATGAAAGGATGAACGAATTATGGGCCGAAACCATGGGTCTGAGCATGGATTCTCAGCATGTTCGGTTGGAAACGTCAGGAGACACGGAAACAACCAAGACGTACCAATTCCGCCTCCCCAATGCCAATGATACCAAAGTCTTGCAAGATCAACTGAAAGACGAAGTCAAGGTCCATCGACTGCTCAAGAATGGAGTGTACTTCTCCACAACAGAGTTGGTGCAGTTATCTGACAAGAAAGGGAAATTGATTGCGGAATATGACCGGGCGCAGAAGGAGGTCGTCTTAGACGCCATGCATATTGCCTCGACCTATCAAGGGCCTTTGGAGCGCACCAATGAGCTCGTCGCGCAGTTGGATGCCCTCGTTAGTCTCGCTCATTGCGCAGCCTACAACCCCCATGGCTACTGCCGCCCTACCATGACGGATGGGGAAGAAGAGGGCATGGGAATCAAATTAACCAAGGCTCGACACCCTTGCGTTGAAATGCAGGAGAATGTTGCAGAGTACATCCCCAACGATATCAATCTAGTCTTTGGAGAATCGAGCTTTCTGCTCTTGACAGGTTAGTAGTCCTCGTTGTGGTTGTGCGCACTCATCATGTGTTTCTGACATTTTGTTTTTGTTGTATTCGGCTGGCTTGCTCACAAAGGACCCAACATGGGAGGAAAAAGCACATACATCCGTGCACTGGGAGCCAGTAAGCGAGGAATTGTTTGCTTTACGATTGATAAACTTTGACGGGCGGTTGCTCACCTTGGCTTTTTGTGTTCATTATGCTTTACCGTTGCGTCCTTGAAACGAAGTTGTCACCATGGCTCAGATTGGCGCATACGTTCCCTGCGAAAGTGCCACCATCAACATTTGTCACCACTTGCTAGCCCGTGTGGGTGCAGGGGATCTTCAGGACCGTGGGATTTCTACGTTCATGGCGGAAATGCTGGAGGCTTCATCCATTCTAAAGACTGCCACGAAACGTAGCCTGATCATTGTTGATGAGTTGGGCCGAGGGACGTCCACGTTTGACGGATACGGCTTGGCACGATCTATCAGCGAATACATTGTCCAACAGATTGGGTGCTTTTCCGTGTTTGCCACTCACTTCCACGAGCTCACACAGCTGGAAGAAACAGAAAAGTCTGTCAAGAACTACCATGTCACTGCTCAAAAGGGAGCACAAGGTTTGACTTTTATGTATGAAGTCCAACCAGGGCCTTGCTTGGAGAGTTTTGGTATTCACGTTGCGGAAATGGCTCGATTGCCGGCCCCAGTCATCGCCGAGGCCAAGAGAAAGGCCCTAGAGCTGGAAAACTTTGAGCAAAAGAAGAGACGCCTTGATGACGCTGCTGCTAACGGCAGGCAAGACTTTATGACTCGCTTCAAAAATCTTCCTCTCAAGTCTTTCAAAAGTGCAGAAGAGAAGATGGCAGCACTTCAGCAGTTGCTGGTTGAAGAGCAGTGAGCGTGCACTACAAGTGCGATATTCCAATCAAAATATGAGCTAGACTATAAAGTGATATCTACTAGCTAATAAAGAACATAAAACAGCAGACAGTTGTGTGTGTGCATGCGGTAACTTTCAGTGTCTTCTCATGTAATTATTCCATGGCATTCGATTGTCGCTTAGAAAAGCTGCTTCGAGCTAGTAGACTAGTTAGTCAATAGTCGCTTCGTAGGTTGCCACATAGCCAAAGTGATCGCTTGGTAGCACAGGGACGACCTTTATGTTTCCATTGAATTGGTTTTCTTTCCGCCACTGCAACCCTTCGATAGGCTCTTTTCCAATCAATTCAATTCCTCGTTCGCGAACGTTCACGGTGGCATCCCCCTTTTGTTGTTGCGTACGGAGCAAGATTCTGTCAAAGCGTCGACGAAGATATCCACCCATCATGGCACTTTCTTTGCAATCGTACGTGTAGCACTGCGGTTCGTCCTTTTTCTTGACTTTTCCATTTTTGTCGGCTACTGCTCGTCGTCGCTTGTCCCTAACTGCAAACCAGGAATCCTTCCAGTCTGACTTTTGGAGGACAGACAACAATTTCGGATCATTGCCAGGATTTTTGGTAGCTTGCACTCGCTCATCATCCCAATTCAAATCCCCCGTGATGATTGCCACGGAGAGATCCGGGAATCGGTTCTGATGATTGATACAGAAGCGTTCCAACTGAATGATTTGTTCCTTTCGTTGTGCCGCTCCATCAAAGGGTCTGCCATTGAGTCCCCCCACGAGGAATGATTCCAAGTGAGTCGTCGTAAAGAGAATTTGCTGATTGGAATGTGGCATTTGACAACGACAGTGCAGAAATCCACGCTGCATGATGGAGTTTTGGTAGGGTTGCCATCCCCCCGAAATGATGCGTAGTTTTCCTCCAAAAGGATCCTCCTTCTGCAAGACCGCCAATGCCACTCCATAGGCGTCATCCATGCCACCCAAATCCTGGACAAAGACCCGATATCCTTGTGCCTCTAGCAATGGTTTGAGAGTTGCCCATAGCGCGAGTGTGACTTCTTGGAATCCAATGAACCAAAGTGGATGCTGCGATGTATTTCGGGCAAAGAGTTCTTGTGCCAAAGCTCGCATGCGTTGCGGTTGACTGGGAGGACCGAACCATACATTGTAAGTAGCGACATTGAAGGAGAGTTTTGTCGGTCCATCAAATTTCGAGGATGCTTTACTAGCTGGTTTCACGGCAGATGATGACGTGTCTTGTTTGTTGTTGTCGTCATTGTAATCTTTGAGTTTCGCCGGTTTCTTCTTCTTGCTGTTTTGGTTGTCGTCATTGTTATTTGAAGAGGAGTCTCTTCGTGGTTTTTTGGTCACAGCCACAACTTCCACTACACTGTCATCATCATCATCATCACTGTCCAACAAGTCAATCACCGAAGATGGATTTCGTTTGCGTCCAGCACTGGCCATGGTGGTGGTGAAACCTGCCGTGTGTTTTGGCGCGAAAGGTTGTCGAAAATTGGTCGGACGAGCCACGCTGTGGAAGGCCGTTGCTTGGAGAGGCACGCTGAATGCCAAGGAAACCCACAAAGCTGTGCAAACCGATCGGTTACATGTACGTGACAGCAAGGATGGTATCACTACTAGCAGTCTCGAGGAGATCATACAACACACACCAAGTAAGTACTAGTAGATAGAAGTCGCAGCGGGTTGAACCAACAATGACAAAAAGAAGAAAAAAATGAGATGTCAAAAGACCACTGAACGAAGTTCGGATCTTTTGACCACTGAACATCTTCAAAGCCGTTGTGAAATGCTGCTTGCGGGACTGTCTGGTAAGACTCCATCACGATTCCAGAAGCTGTGCCTCCATCCACAACAAGACGACGACAACAAACACGAGCTAAGAAGCTTGCTTGTCAAAGGGTTCCGCTTCTTCCATTTGTCTATTGAGCTAACTGGCTAGAAGATAGAAACTGACTGCATAATCAATTAAGAAGATGACGGCCCAAGTAGTCATGGAGTACCGAGAAGACGATCCCAGTTACTGGCGTCGCAAAGCGCTGCTGTCGGAAATTGGAGACGATGGCCAAGGAACTTCCGGTGGTGGAATTTCCGTGAGTAGCTTCTTTCCCATTACACGGTACTACGAAGCTGCGGACAAAGTGTTGGCAGCCTTTGAAGATGCTGTCGGACGAGGCGACCTAGACAGTACTTTTGTCTATGGCAAACGCTTTTGTACCTTTTGCATTGAGAGCATTCCCAAGCACGATTACTACCTCAGTGCCAAGTACAAGAATCTACGACACAAGTACACGCGAGATGCCGAGACGGTGCTCAAGCATTTGGACGAAGTCAAGGCCAAGATGAACGCAGAAGAACGCGTCAAGCACAAGAAACGCATGGAATTGGCGCGCCAGGAAGCCGCTCGCAGAGAAGCCGAACGAAAGCGCCAAGAAGCCATCCTGCGAGAAAAAGAAAGAGCCAAATACCAGGAACTCATGAAACGAGCCGAATTACAACGGCAAAACAACAACGCCAAGACTGCCACTAGTAGTAATGCTAATGGAGGAAAAGATGTCCAGGCATCTGCCATGAACAAATTGGAACTATTGATGAAACAAACCAGTGCTTCCAAAGTTGCAACTCCTCCTGATCCACAATCACAAAATCGACCTTCGGGACGATACTTTTTGGCAGACACGGATGACGAAGAAACAGAACAACCGCCCGTCAATGGACAGAAAATCTGTATTGGAGCACCACTACCACCCCCCATGCCACCACCGCCAGCCTATGGAGATGCCAAGGCCCGGATCCCCAACGGATCGCTACCACCGGCTCTGTCTCCACCCTCAACGTCGCCATCAGCCGCCACCACCACGGAAACACCACCACCCTACGATTTTGCCATTAATACCCAACGACACAATCCATTTTTGGGACCTGCCACTGGCGCATCCTATGCCTTACCACCACCTGTTCAACCATGGGAGAATAATAATAATAATGGACATGTGCGACCTCCCAGTTACAACGCTGTCAGTGGAACAAGTTCGTCATCTCCATCTCATCAGCTACCAGATCCACCCACCAAACGATACCCCACACAATCCCAACAGCCACCCAAGAGAAAGAAAAAAGTTTCCGTGCGACAGTTGCGGGAAACGGCAAGACGACGATACGGGGATTTCGTACAGGATGGAATCATTGAAATTCGACCCATTGATACATACCAAGGACGATACAGTCAATCCACCAATGGTTGTACTGTCATTAGTCCCTTGGTCGTAGCTCATCACTTGGCAACGTCCAATGGTGTACTCTTGCCAGATCGAGAAATCAAACATGTCATTGACAATGAATGTGGACCGCTTCTACGGGAGATTCGTGGAAAGTTGGGACTCGAAAATCACAGCCTCATTATCCCTTCGGACGTGCACGATCATTTGGTGGATAAAAACATTTTGAAGCAGGACCATTTCGTGGGTGCCACGGGAGGAAACATTATCAACGAAGAACACATTGGCGAATTCATCAAACTCTTCCAGGAAAAGAGAAAAGCTGGAGCGGCATTGTTCTTTCGTGAACACGTGGTTAGCATCATCAAGATTCCCGTGGGCGGTGGAAGGGCGTATTACGATCTGGTGGATTCCATGCCCGGAACAAAGGATGCCCGCAACAATCCATGTGCCAGTCGCACACGCTGCAAGTCCGAGGAAGCATTGGATGTCCTGTTGAAGTGGTATGCCACCAAAAAGTTCACAGAATCCAACTGTTCCTACATTGACAACAATGGCTGGAATGACATGATGGCCGATCTAGACCCCCGAGTCTTTCAAGGCTTTGTGTGGGGCAAAGACGAGTGATGGCAATGCGCCAACGACAACACACACAAACACACAAAATGTGACGTAGTACTAGAAAGTAATCAACACACTACTGTAGCTAGGTATAGTAGTCTTTGTCTCTGAAATGTTAGTCTCAACCACATCCAGCTCACCTCAACTCGTCGAGAGATCAGTCTTCAAGTACCGGTAGTGTTCATGTTACTCTCAATCTTCTGTAGGCTCAATATCCAATGGCCAACCTGCAGCAGCTTCCGACGCCGAGTTGTTACCATGTTTGAGCATCAATAGAACCGAACCAGCAAACTCGGCAAAGCGAGGAGACACATAGTGTGCCTGTGAGTCGACCTCACCGAGCTTGAGAGCATTGGCACTTTTGATACTACGCTGATGGGCATCCACGATCATCTTGAGTCGAGGCCAGAGGAGCTGATTGATCTTTTCATAGAATCCATCCAAGAAGTGAATAGTCCGATGTCTCGACATGCAACAATACTGGTGAACCACTTTGATCATGAGCAACAAAGCTAGCGCATCGTGACAGCCAAATAGATAATTCTCCAGTTGTTCCTGTAGATCTGAGAGGGTTGCTTCCCGAGAAGAGAGGACGGAAGGCAGCCCCCTTGAAGAATTGCTGACAAAAGACATTGGTTCGTGACGGCTTCAAGCAAATGCTCCATAATGGATCGGAAGAGTCGTTCGTGGCAATTTTGTTAGTCTCAACCACAGCCCGCTATGAAACGCCCCCAACTTTTCGAGCGAGTAGTCTTGATGTAGTGTTCGATGTTACTCTCAATCTTCTGCAGGTCCATGTACATCATCAAATTGTGCTCAATAGGCTCAATTCCCACTACAGAGAACACGTTGGCCTTTTCGTTTTCCGCGCGGAAGCCAAGTTGCAATGCTTATACTCTACCGGTACGGTGAACGATGTCCTTTGTAAGCTAAACTAACACATTATTAAATGGCAAGGGCGTACTTCTTGATCTCAGCCAAGATGAGGCTCGTGCTGACGAGATCCTTGCAGAACGCTGGCGGCTTGTTCTGCCAAACCTTGCGGATAATGTCTTGGAAGCGAGTGTAGTACAACAGCAGCTGCGTCAAGACTTGCTTCAGAATCTCCATGCCATTGCGAAAGTTCGAAAAGTACGAGAGAACATTGCGGTTGATCAGTTCAATGTTGGCCTTCCAATTGGAAGAGAATTCACGAACCAACGACTGCACAACGGAAGGGTTCACGTTGTAGGACGAGCCCGTGGGGGCGGAGTTGATGTGGCCCTCTGTTTGCTGGACGAAAGCAATCATCTTGGAAAAGCCAACCAACAGTTCTTCCTCTACAAACAGCTCTCGTTGCGCCATCAGCTTTTCCACCAAGCGGTTAAACTCTTTCCCAACGACCCTTCTTTCCTGGAAGATGCAGACCACGTGGTCGAGATTGTTGATTTCAAAAACAATCCTCCTCTTCTGAGAAGTATGTTCGTCGGCAAGGCGATCCAAGAGTAGGAGATACTCATCCAGCATCTCGGAGACATCTTGCAGCAGCATGTCGCCAGCGCTCCTGCCACCGCCACCTCCCCCACTGTTGTCAAGGTTGGCCGGGCGCGACCGGCCCTTGGAAGGCGTTGCTGCCGGTTTCCTATCGTCATGTTGTTGGTGCTTGCCGCCATCACTCTTACCCGATGACTTGCCGCCCTTGTGGTGATGATGATGATGATGTCGGTGCTGGCCCTTTGGCCGACTTGCGGCAGCTGTCGACCCCGTGTTGTTGCCATCTTTGAGAATTAATAGAACCGAACAGGCAAACTCGGCAAAGCGACGCGACACATAATGCGCATGTAAGTCGACCCCACCGAGCTTGAGAGCATTGGCTCCTTTGATACTACGCCGATGGGAATCCATGATCATTTTGAGTCGAGGCCAAAGGAGCTGATTCACCTTTTCATAGAATCCATCCAAGGAGTGAATCGTCCGCTGTTTTGCCACGCGACGATACTGGTGCACCACTTTGATCATGAGCAACAAAGCTAGCGCATCGTGACAACCAAATAGATAATTCTCGAGTTGTTCCTGTAGATCTGAGAGGGTTCCGGAGAAGAGAGGACCGAAGGCGTCACGCTTGAATAGCTGTCGACAAAAGACATGTTCGTTGGTGACGGCTTCCAGCAAATGCCCCATAATGGATCGGAAGAGTCGTTCATACGGATAGAGTTTCTTTTCCATGAGAGCGACATGGGCTAGAATTGGCTGTGGCAATGCCTGCGTGTGTTGGTGGGGATGCCGCCCGTATTTGCGTTCATAGTCAGGAGCATCAGATGGGAAGAGGACCTCTTGTGCACGGGTCCCCAACGCGAATACGTCCACTCTCTTTTTCGCTTTGGTTGTCAAAGAATCACGCAATGCAGCATCATCAATGGCGATAACGTCTTGTCTCGTGGCAGCACTCCTCGTGGCATCGAGTTGTAGCAATTGCGTCTGGTAAGTCCGAAATAGGGTATAGAGTGTCTTGCTCATACTCTCAATGTAAACATTGAATATTTCTTGCGCGATCTGTGGATTGGCTTCAGTGAGGAAATCCTGCAAGTAGGCATACTGTAGCAATCCATGAACTTGAATCATACGGACATTGGTTTGTGGTCTCCTCAGCAACGCCATTTGCGTGAGAAAATAATCTCGAACTCGAGTGACCGCCACACATCGCAATTTGTACACGTGGATCTGCATTTCTTTTCCCGCAGTGGTTTGTGAGGGAGGTTTATTGGCACTCCACGGCTGTGGCTTGGTGTCGTGTACATTTTGGTAAATGGTGTTCATCTCTCGCACGGCTTCGACAAAGACTCGGTTGATGGGCCCCGAGGTGATGGCCTGGGCCAAGTTGGGAGCAATGACGATATGCGACAAGAATTGTCCCAATCCATCTTCGGCTAGTTTACGATTACCGTACTGGACGGCCAAGACTCTGGACTTGTCTTGAATGGACCTAATTTCACCCGAAAGACCACCTAAATCGGCCTGGAAACCCAATAACATTTCCTGCAAGGCCGACAAGACGGCGTCACAGTCGGCCAATTCAGTTCGCAGAGTGGTAATTTCGTTTTCCTTGCGTCGGTAGACTTGAATGCATTGTGACTCTAACTCGTGCAATTCCTGCTCTACGGTCGACGAATAGGAGGCCAAGTCCAAAGATCCATCCGCCAAGGCAGCTTGCAAGGAAGGATTGGCCAGAAACAGCGCCAAGTCACGCGAGAGCTGCTCTTCATTGGTCTCCTCGGTCTCTTCTTCGCCTCCTGGGCCCGTCGATTTTTCGGATCCATTGCCCATAGGCGTCATCACCCCCGCGACAGAGGCAGCCGAGGGTGACGTTAGTGGTGGAATGGCCAAGGCCGATGCGGCCGACAGAGGGATCTCCATGGCCATGGTGTTGCCTGACTTCTTTTCAGTTGCACACCAATTGCTTTGACAGTTGGGAGCTTTGCTTCGTGAACCCAATCCCTTGTGTGCTACCGGTATGACTCGTGACTCAGGCCTGCCTCCAAAGCAACTTCTTTTCGCTGTGGCGGGTTCTCACTTGTTTAGAAAAGGTTTGGTGGTACCGGCACCGGTTGGGAAGTGGTGACTATTGAATGCGATGGTGGGGCACTCGACGGTGTTGGTGGCGTATTAGAATAAAAGATTGCTAGAATTATTGCATCGTCGAAACAAGTCTAATTCTTGGAGAATCAGCTTGTTGAACGGTTGATCGGTTTGACAAACCTATTGCGAGTTGATTGTATATCTAGTCAAGAGCTTTATTAAAAAATTCATCAGTATACGGAATTGTTTTTTGCTGAAACCATACGTGTCAAGGCCTGCCAACTTGATGGATATGCCGTTCGCCAATTTTTCCACAATCATCCAAAAAGTGAATTCCGAATGCAGCAATTTTTGTTTTTGTGTCAGTCAGTCAAACTAATAATCTCCTTCGACAGAGTCGGCGTTTATGTTCATGTCCAGGTCTTCGCCAGTGATTCGCTTGTGCAGAGACAAAAGGTCCTCGCAATCTCCTTCAAAGTGCGATGTTCCATCAAACGACTTGGAGATGAAGCACTTGTCGGCACTACCGTCACCAGTTGGTTCGTACGTGGTGGTGACCGAGGTAAATCGCTTGAGAATGGGTCCTAGCATCTGCAAGCCAGGAGCGACATCTTCATCGGGTTCACTCTTTTCTGCCAGGGTGGAAACAATGGCAATGTACACTCCATTGGCAGAAACCTGAAGAGAATGTCCTAGAGCACAGACAAAGACGTCATTGACACGTCCGACCTGAGGGCCGGGGATGACAACTTGGACCGACTCGGCATTGTTCGTGTTGGGGACAGGGTGATCCAAGATACAAATGCAACGAACGACGGATCCAGTGGGGCGGATCTTGTCCGAAGAAAAGTAGGAAGGATCTCCAATGACCATGGCGGCTTTTGCCATCATGTTTCCAGCCTTGACACCGTAAGCTTCGCCCTTGTCATTGAACAGAATTTCATCGACATCCTGGTTGAGCATGAAGGTTCCTCCGTGAATGGCACAAATACGAGAAAACCCTTCTGGGAGTCCTCCCAGACCGTAGAGAGGGTAAATGTAAGGGGAAGTACCGTAGCGCGACAAGGAGTAAATGTAGACCTGCAATTCCTTGATGGTGGGGAGAGCCGGCAAGTCCATGTGTTTTTCGTCTAGTTGAAGACACATGGCATGGGAAATAAACTGATGGGTGTCGGGTTGGAGTCCAAAATGCTCGTACAATTGTCTCATTGTCATGGTCTTCAAATCCCGCTCCTCGTAGGTTTTGGGATCGTCCTCCTTGTATTGATCCACGTAAAGCAAGAATTTGCGGAAGCGTCGCTTTTCAAAAAGTCCCATAAGAGGAGATCTGAGAGCCTCCTCGGGGGTAGCCGGGACCTTGAGGATTTTTCCTCCCTTGTAGACATAAGATCCAGCGATGGATTTAAAGTCCAAGTAGCGGGTGACTTTGGTGTGCAAAAGCATTTTGGTAAGGTTTCCACATGCCATGATGAATTTGGGGATGAGATCGACATTGTAGTCACGGTTGGCTCCCAAATTGGAGGGTGCTTCTCCGGCTTGGAACTTTTCAAAAAGATTGGACAAGTTCAACGAGGCTCCGTCTCCTCCGTAGTATCCATTTCTATCCATCTGCAAAACGCGCTTTCCCTTGACACTGAGAAGACCGGAAATGACGCATTCCTTCAATCCAGTGCCCATCACAATGGCATCGTACTCTCCATCGGCCAACGGTTCCATGCCCTCAGGCAACCAATCAAAGGTGGGCTGATAAACGCATTATTTTAATGCGAATCCAGTTCCATTTCAGTTTCCAGTTCCATCCAAGACGCAGATAACAGGATGAGGTGAGAGGAGCCAATCGGAATGCCTCGTCAATCCACGTAGGGTAGATACCCCAGTCTACTGCGCGCGAAAAACACACGAAGCGGATACCCCACAGTACATTTCCTTGTCTTTGCTGCTAATCGCCACTCACCTTCTTTGGCTCTCCTTCTTCTGACATGGTGATGAATCAATTGATGTGAACTAGCTAAGAGATAATAATATGTGATATGCCGAACTCGACAGTTTGCTTTGGTTCGTTGGATACAACAGCGTGGAAGAAGACTATCGAAACAATGCCAATGGAGGTGGCCGTTGGTGCCGTGTCAACAAGCCGAGACATCCGAGTGACCGCGCGATCCTGGCCATATCTTTTTGGGGGGATCTTTTGACCGGAAATTTCGCTTGGGACTCATTTTTCGTTTTGGTTGGAGTTGATTTGTTGCAACGGCTGGGCAACAAAACAAAGATGAAGCTCTTCAAGTCCTTTAGTAGAACTACTATCACTACTAGAAGTAGTCTTCTACCTTGGCCTTTTGGTATTATCTTACTGGCAACCTTGCAGATTGGTTCCACTTTGGCGTTCTCCAGAAGATACCCTTCCATTCCCGCGCATCTTGACCAATGCCAAACACTATTATCCACCAGAGTTCATCCATTTCCCACGCATCCCAAATGCAGACCACCACTACTTTCCACTGCTTCCGATGCACTCTTGGAGGCCATCCAATCTGATCCTCAAGATGAAGCTCAAATAGCATCTTGTATAGAAGACCTGGAAGCAGCCAATCCACTGCCCCCAATAGAAGAAGATGCCAAAAAGGAGGATTTCGATCCCCTCCTGGGACTCTACGAGGTTTCTTTTGTCAAAACCAAGCGACCCAAGGATAACCCTGTGGGTGGAAAATGGACTCGAAAAACTGGAATTGCTCAAAAGCTACTACGGACGAGACGATCCTTTCAACATTTGGTACCCACCAATTCGACTGGTCTAACCAAGACGTTTTCGGCAGTGGGGGAGGCCATCAATGTCATTTCCTTGGAAGCTTTTGCGGGGATTCTACGTATTTCGGTCATTCTGAGAGGTGATGCCATACCACTAACTCTGGCAGAACGATCCAACACAACGCGGGTCGTTCAACCGTTGACACCCCTGGCGGTCAAGGCCTTGTTTGATTCTCCTCGCATTTTCATTGGCAGAACAGGACGAATTGCACTCAGCGTTGGACCCAAAACTAGTGTCCTACTGGATTGCTTGTTTTGTGATGACAACATTAGACTGGGAATGGGAGGAACGTCGGGAAGCCGATTTGTCTTCAAGAGATGCTCGTCAGATGATGAAGAAGCCAATGAGTTTCAGGCGTTGCTGCAGAAACCTTTGCCAAAAAGGTACAAGTCGTTTCTCAGTTTAGGAGGAATTGCTGCACTGGGCGTATTGGGAGTGGCTCGTGGATTCTTGAGAATCCTCAGTGGGACTGTAGCTGCCATTGCACTCAGCATGGCGGCGCTGATTGCCTTTTCGGGCGGTGGCATTGAGCAAGGCGACATGGGAGTTACCATGGCCAAAGAAGAAAAAGCCAAGGCTAACTGACTGAACCAAAAAAATTCAATGGTTTCGTTGGAGGAGAGAATATGGACTTGCTAAACGACAAAGCGCCTACTCAGAAATTCAGGTATTAGGCACTTCCGAAAGACCTTTAGGGTGATTGGGAGCTCTGTTCTCTCCTAAAAGCCATGACCCAGGGATATCCCAGTGCTTCTCGTCCAAACTAGTTTGGAATTGGGTCTCTGATGCAAGAAAGCTGAGCGAAGAGGCAATAGACCATACATCTAGCAATCAACACCGTAAGCACTGCCGGACGTAACCAACCAGCTTGATACATACATATACGTATTCTGCTTTCAGTCTTGTTCTCTAGAGTGCGCTGAATATTTCTTTTCGTGTAACTGGTTGCGACGTTCGGACGTAGTACTGGAAAAGGAGCCGAGAGCGAGATGGGGAAAGATCAGCTGCACGGCTTGTGGCTCATGGCAAAACTGACTGTCACTGGCACGGAGCAAGCAATCCATCATTGGTCGCAGGACTCATAGCTAGGGGAAGATCCATTCAAGTTAAAATAATCTGTCCAGCCTACTTGCTGGCTGAGGGCCTTTCAATACTCAATCATGCAGGATTGCCTGATCCCTTGCCGGGCTCTTTTTATAACTTGCACCTGGCGGACCAGGACGAGTAAGGGAGAGTTGAACTTTCTGTGCTCAGTACAAGACGAAACAACCTCAAAACTATTGCATACTACTTTTCTCCGTTTGGGGGTTTAGATCGCGGGAACCGGACAGGTCTCAACAGCATAGACTATGGGAACGACGGGATAAAGAAGCAAATCCAAGAACCGGTAGAATCGAAAGTCACCATTTTTAAAAAGCAATTCTTTGTTTTCAATTTGAACGTGTCTTGGGGGGTGTCCATCTATCTGTGTCGGCGGAACAGCAGTAGCTTTCCTGCTTATTCGTGTCCTGCCTTTAATCCTTTTCCAATCCGCTGAATAGTTCTTTCCAATTACCTCCTCGGCACTCTCGACCACTGACAAAGATGTCTTCTGCAGTTTTTTGTTTGAAAATGTTGCTAATGCCAACACTTGCCAATGGGGCCGCCGTGTCCGCATTGTAGCATTCAAACGTTGTTCGTCCGGCCAGTTCGGGGTAGTACAAGGCTTCCACACAAATGTTGGCCACATCGGCTCGGGCGATCCTGCCACTTTTGGTGTCACCTTGGTTCAGCTCAAGAAGTGCCACGGATCCCAAGGACGGCTCTTCGGTCAGTCCACCAGGACGGACAACTGTATAGGACAACCCTGCTTGTTCAGCAGGTGTTCCTACTGCATAAAGTGCCCGGACAGCATCTTCGCCTTTGATCTTTTCTTCCATAATCTTTCCAAATAGATTGAGGAATTGAAAGGTGGGGGAACTAGGCTTGGAGACTGCTCCAGAGGAAACAATAACAAGCTGCTTGACTTGTGCATCAATGCATGCCTTGGCTACCGAGACGAGTCCAGCGTTGTCGACTGATGAAGGGGCTCCGCCTTCTTTCGACGCGGATGCAGCAAAGATGACAGCACTAGCACCCTTGACGGCGGGAGCAATAGTGGAAGGATCAGTGACATCACAAGCCAAGGATACAACTCCCTTGACACTGTCTCCATCGCGGTATTCGCCTGTTCGAGTGCAAGCTCTTACTGAGACTGATCGTGCCTGTAACGCCTTGACGCATTCGTATCCCGTTCGGCCATTGGCGCCAATGACAGTGACAGGGCCAGTGGATGGTTTGTTTGTTGCGGTAGCATCATCGGCGGCCAAAGAAAATTGTGGTAAAGAAACACTAGTTGCAAGGGCAGCAGCAAAAGTTATCCGGGTTGCAAAATCTCGTCGGGTAGTGCTGTCTTGATTGATCGGATCCTGGTCACCATTGGCACTTGCAGCCAAGCCAAATCCAGCGCTTCTGCTGATCAGCTCTGAAGGAGACTGCAACGAAACCGAAGAGGCGCCTGGGCTAGAAAACCCAGAGGCAATTGGCGTTGATACGAATAGTATCAGAACGAGGTTCCGACAGGAAGACATCATGGCGTTTGATGTGCCTTGAGGAGCCTGAAAGACTGCAAATTGCAAACCTCGAAGGCTCGGATCTGGATCTCGGATCTTGATGCCGATGACGACACTCAGGAAAATATAAGCCATCAAGAGCTGTAGAGAGGTCCAAAGGAACCCAACTAAGCCAGGTCCCTTGCCCTCTCCTTTCCTTTGTTGTCTCCTCATCTTTGGCACTCCGTTCTTCGCTTCGTGTGCAGTTTATCGATCAGTTGCCAAGCGAATCTCACTAGATAGATCTCTAGATAGCATCCGCATACAGTAATGGTAGCTAGCTAGCTGGCCCAGTCCAAGATACAATTTGCCAAGGCTGCCTTGGTTCGAAGCCCTTTTATCAACTGTAAATATTCCAAGAAGGTTGTCTGTCTTCAGCAATCCACTAGCTAGCCAGTAATTCGACACAGCTATCAAGCATTCCATGCCAGCCATGGTAAGTACCCGATAAAGTGGAATCTAATATACTTTTATTACATTGCTTGCTTGCACTCTTTCTTGTAGAGAATGCAATACCAGAATCCGAAGGAGGTCCGCGGGAGGATACCCATATGCCTCATAGCTAGCGGTTCTCGGATTCGACCTTGATAGGAGAGAAACATATTCTCTCTCACAGGTACTTTTGGGGGTAGGTCATGCCCACCATGGTACTCGACTGCGTGCTGTTCGACATTGAAGTTGGCGCATCCATGGACGATGTAGCGTCTTGTGGTTTCTCACCCAAAAGGCGTCCCTTTAGTCTCAAAGCAGTCTCGATAAAGTTTGGAACGATGTTGCAAAAGTCTGCTGCCGAGATTTCGCCGATGCGGTCCGAGTACGAGAAGTAGATATCGTATTGACCATTGCCATGCTTCTTGAGGGACAAAGTACCTCCGCCTGTTTTGGTATTAAGAAAGGGAAGAACAAGTTTATTAGCGGACGGGATGTTGATATGTAATGCTTCTTAACATAACAAAGCATAAGTCGGACTTACGAGTTTCGCTGTGAATGCGGTTGAGTTCCAGCATCATATCTTTGGATTCCTCGCTGAGATAGGGTACCGAGACGATGGTATAGATGTAGCACAGACCAACGTCTTCCGGAACTTCAATAACAATGGTCATGTTTTCGCAGCTGAACATGCAGACGCCATTATCATCCAGTTCCAGATGCATGCCTCCCCCAACATCTTGTGATAGCTTTTGCAAGTAGCATTGCATTTTCCCTCGGTACTTGGAGAGGCTTCGAGAGTAGTGAGACGAGCTGCTGCAATCCATGCTATCAGCCTGCGCAGGGTCGTCCATGCCGTCATCCGAAGGATACTGCTGGGCCAGCTCTTCTGTTCGCTGCGCTACCCATGCAGATCCCATCATCTCATGGATAGTGTCCCGAAGTGCAAAGTTTGGAACCACCAAATTGGCATTCAAAGGTTGGCGTGATACTGGCGAAAGACCGTAGAGAGAGAGCCAATGAAGAAGCGCTTGTCGTTCGAATGTATTACCCTCGGAATCGATCACTGGGTCAACCATCGCTTCAAATGTCAGCGGACAAATGAAGCTTCGAGGGACGTTGATGCTTCCGCTAGTGTCGTCTTGGGGAATCATCGTGCAATGATATCTTGCGTAATGTAATGTATAAATGTATTATGCTGGAAAGGGGTATCCAAGCCACACTCTTGATAGTGATGAAGAGATTTTGAGCTTGAGCAAAGGTGAAGGTACAGTGAAGGAATGCAGGAGACTACAACTTCCTCATCAACAGTGTCAAGGCGGCTCTGTGGATGCTATCCTAACGAAGGTAACTGGCAGGAAGACGACCTTGCATGAAGTTGCCCTGCAATGTGCACAATGCTATGGAAGCATCCGTCTGTGTGAAGCCAAAAAGAGACGCCACTAAAAATGAATGGGCCAGCCTGCGCGGCTCCGTCTTTCTTCTCCTTCCTTCGGACCGTAGAGTCCTACGATATTTTAGGCGACCTTTGGGATGGAGAAGCTCTGGTTAATTAGGGATTGCACAATCTGCGCGTGGGGCGTAAATCACAGATGGAGGTGATGAAAAGGTCGCGAATCCTTAGCTTTAGTCTCTGTAAGCTAGACAGATCGAATACGCCTCATTTGATAATTACCAAACACAGCAGCTCAAGCTACCCTAAATAGTGTTTTGTGTCCGTTCATCGTTGCATTAAATAAATACCGGGCATCTGGCTCTATCGATATGCCATCCACAGACGCTTTCCGAGGCTTAAAAGATCAAGATACCGGGCATCTATCTGTCACCAACAGCTCACGAACTCGGCAACTCAACAAAAGTGTGGCAAACAAACCACCCAGACGCCGAATCACACATACTGGATCTTCCCAAGCGTCTGACGATGGCAGCCATGAAAAACCAACCTAACGGATGTTTCAAACTTGTTTGTGGCTCCTTTGCACGCACAATGCGAGGCAACTCCCGTATACCGGTAGACAACAATCGTATTAGATGCCATCGCAAATCCCAGTCGTTTTCACGTGATGTGGTTTCTCTCACCAGATCATACCCAAAGACGAATTCGGAATTGAAGAAGCAAAACCTGAGTGATCCTGGCAGCTCCGAACTTCTCTTCGACCCCCCTATCCCTCTATCCCCTATCCCTACCCTCTCGCTTGCCTCTTGGTCTGATCCCTATCCTCTCGCATCGATCTATTCTTTCACGCATACTAGTACTAGTACTATTAATAGTAGCTCCTCGTTTTGCTTCGCGCTTCCTTGCTTGGCTACATACCTGGCTTTCGTTACATGGGCACCAGCGTACTTAAATAAATTGTCATACTAGCTAGCTACCGGTACTACCGGTGGTACTGCTAGGCCCTGTTCACAACCCACACCACAGCCCTCTCTTTAACGGTTCCAATAGCTGTTCCAATCATTCAGCCATCAGGCACTCCGGAGTATTTGGGCAATTTTTATGAAAGAAATCGCCCAGGAAATGGGCAATTTTTGAACTGTGACCCATAGATTTACTGGATATTTTCTCAAAAGGCCAAGAAGTTTTTGCCAAAAGTATTTCAATCCCTTTTTATTAAAAAGCTACGAACGCACGTTTTACCCGCGCTACCACTGGTAGTATGTACATGTATTCCGAATCCAATCCCTCTTCCTCGCCTCCTACTACTCTAGCTAGCTAGCTAGTTACTGCCGGTAGACTACAAGGTACCACTCACATCGAAGGGATCTAATCCATCTCATGTCCTTGTATTTGGTGCGGTGGTTGATGATGGCAACGAGCGATCCGGAATGTTGACGCTATCGCGTTTTTGCGCCGCCCCAGGTGCAATCCGAGTGTGAATGAAATGAGCCAGCAACCATCACTTACTTACTTGCAAGAGCTATCCAAGTCCTGTTCCGGCGAGCTCTGGACGGGCACCTCTAGCTAGAGTTAGCTATTAATAGCTAGACAGTGACACAAGCGGATATCTTCAAAAAGGCTGCCAAAGATTGTTAGCTAGACCATAATAAGAGCTGAACCCACGCCATCCCTTATTGGTTCCAATCTACCGTTTCTATCGCCCAAACGACCGCGTCTTCGAACCGTTGACGACCTCTCACATCACAAAAGATCTATCTATCTTTAGTTAGTCTAGGTTTAGGGTCAGAGTTCAGATCTAGGTTCCAACTGGCTCCGGAAGCAAGAACACGAACCGATCCTTCTAGAATTCTGGAAGCGGATCGGATTCCGGTACTAGCTAGTACCTTCAGGCACTCATCATTCGTCAGCCGCCGACTGCCGACCTCTTGCCTTTGATTCTCAGAGAGACGATCCAATGCCCGCATCATCATGACACTTGCAATCTCATCTATCTGATCCCATAATATCAATACTAGACGGTCAAAAGTTCGGCTCGAAGATAGACTGTCATTCCTTTCAAACAACTCTTTATTACTAGTCTAGCTAGTAGTTGACCTCGCTGCGATATCTTTGTTTTCCGCCCACAGAGATCCATCATCATGTTTTGCACACCCTTCAAAGAGGCCAAGACCCGTCACCACCAACCGAATTGGTTCGAAATCGAACGTTTGTTGGCTCCACTAGTATCACATTTGTCAAAGTCTCCTGCATGGGTGATGAATTCCCAAACGGCTTTCGAAGAGATCCCTCCGTGTGAAAGGCGGTATGATTGATCATTCTGGGGAGGTGCGGTGCCGACACTCTGTATCGGAACTCCACGTGGCAGAATGGGAGTTTAACAACTAACTCGGGAAGCTTTTCTTTGTCCTCAACCGACAAAGCACCCAGAGAGGAACATCTGGAGAAGGGACAAGCTAGATGCTGTAGTAGCTATAAACTAATTGAGCCGAAATGAACATCAACAAGTTGCATGTATCATGCTTAGTAGTCGCCCCAATACAGACCAATGTTTGGCCATGCTGTGAGTCCGCACTCCATCCTAATGCAAATGCTATCAATGTACAATCTGCAGTCCCATCTGGGGCCAATTCTGTGGAGTCGAGTCATCGAAATGGCATGTGATGGACAAACCTTCTAGCAGGCAGATGTTCAGATACGAGTTGCCCAAGGCCACAAAGCAGCTAAAAGGGGTTGCTGTGTTACTCTATTTGTTTTTCAACTTTTTCCCCAGATTGATTCCCTTTTGATAGAAAGAATCGGGAAGGACAACACCTTCCTTTTTCAAGAGGGCCTGGGAAACCCGTTTATTAGAAATGCTTTGAATCATCCCCCTCAAGACCAAGGCATTGTATTCTGTTTCTGGCATGTCCCCGGGTCTCAATGGGCCTGATGTTTCATGTCCACTGGCGGCACTCAAGTGTGCCAAGGTGATGGCTGTGGCTACGGACAAGTTGAAGCTCTCGGCAAAGCCCACCATGGGTAGAGTAAAGGTGAGATCGGACAGTTGACGCATGGTGTCACTGATGCCGCTGACTTCATTTCCCATGACAATACAAAGAGGTCTATCATCTTCATCACTTGTACTATCTGTGTCGTCGTCCGTCCCCGCTGTACTCCAATCAATATCACGGATATCAACGGACGAGGGATTCAAATCGGATGCCAATATCCGACAGTTGTGTTTGTCGCGTAGAGTTTGAACAGCCTCTTCTGCACTAACATAATGATGAAGTGTCAACCACTGCGCCGATCCCATGGCAGTCCGCATGCCTTGTTTCTGCAGCAAAGCCGCCTTGCCTTGATACTCTTTGGCTTCGGTGACAATGTGAATATGTTGGATTCCAAAACTATCCAATGTCCGAAGACACGCCCAAACATTGCTGGGATTGGTCGGATTTTCAAACAAAAATTGTGTATGCCGTGTTCGTTGTTTCAAGACGTGAGTGATGCGTTCGTAGCGTGGCTGCTGTACGTAGGGCATGAGAATTCGCATGGCTTCTTGAACCAGGGTGGGATCAAGACTCTGGAGGGATTCTCGTCGTGTCTTTTGTGCTTGCGCCAATAACTCGTCTTGTCGTGCTTCTTCTTGCACCACCTCTTCGTTAATTTCTCCAAAGGCATTGTGCAGTGTCTGCCCCTGTGGTAGGAACCTAGGATCCCACTTGGGAGAATCGGCAAAATCAAACGACTCCCATTCCAGAGACGACTCCAAAGTAGTTTTCTTGGTCGTCACAGAATTATTGGTCTCGGATGTTGCCGTGTCTTTTGTTGTTGCCGTGTACCGGCGTCGTACTGTCAATTCTCTGATATTCGTGCCAATGTGTCTTTCTTGTTCTGATGTGATGGCAGGCTTTCTTGGCATCAGTCTTTGCGAGCTTCTCCAGAGCTTTTGGTGGAAACCCGTCGATTTTCCCAGTATCAACAACAGCATACTGATCACGTGAAGATAATGCCGTTGTCTCCCTTTGCTTCTATTAGTCATGGTACTGCTGCTGCCAAACATTTATTGATCCTCTGCTTGCTTGGATGGCATTTGCCACGCTAGTAGTATGATAAAAACGCTTGGGTGAAACAACAAGCCGAAATCATCGGTCGGCAGCAAATGATGCGCTTGACTGACGTCATCGCCATCACAGAAAAAGAACAAAAGCAACCACTGCGATGTGCGGCATTGCCATTTATTGTCATCAACATACTGTACCACCACCCATCCAACATCACGTCTTGCCTAGCTAGCAGCTCCAGTATCGCCGCTTCAAAACTACAGTTGTATATAAAGGAAAAAGGAGTTTTCTGAAGATGGCCTCAATAACTGAAGCATGGGAGGTACTCAACTCTGACGATTCCTTCCTTCCGTTCTATCTACCACTGGCCTTTTGGACCGGGGCGTTCCTCGTCTCCAAGGTCCGAAAAATCGAGTTCCATGATTGGAAACCTCTCCACAATGCCTTTAATATGGCAGCCATTGCTCTGTCGGCCATATCTCTCTACTTTGGCAATGACAACATCTTCAATGAAAGAATCCCCATTCTGTTTTCACTCAGCTACTTTTCCGTCGATTTGGTGGATTGTGTCTGGCGCAGGGATATCGCCTTTACGTTTCATGCCGTCTTCTGCCTTATATTGGGGACCTTCAACTACGCCACCCCGGTCCTCCGTACCATACGAGCCAATTCCAAAGCGTGCATGTTCGAACTGTCGTCCCCCTTTCTCCATCGAGCCAAACGAACGCGACAACCCACCGATTTCCTCCTCTTTGTCGTTGTCTTTACATGTTGTCGAATTATTTGGATACCGCTGATCGGAAAACAAATGCACGAAGCTGGATTAATCTTTCCAACAGACATTAGACAAATACTGGTGGTAGGATTCTATGCTTTGAACTTGTTCTGGTATTACAAGATGATACGAATTGTTCTCGATGCGGTAACCCAGTCAAAGCAAGAAAAATCAGTGTAGCACAAACACATACCGTACATGCATCCAAAGGAAACTGAGGAGTACTAGCAGGCTAGCTTGTGGGGAGTGGGTAGTTTTGGGGGGGCTCTGAAGATCTTCTGATTCAAAAGGCTGCAACGTAATGGAGCCTTTCTGGACAACAAAAATGAAACACTCAACAATTTTGACGAAGCTGCTTGCTATCCTTTTCAGTGGTCTCTGCGCAAATCCAGCTTTAAATCAAACATAAACCTTTTTTAGTATATTATCTTGGAAGAATACGATTCTCCTTATCCTTTCTTTAGAATGCAAACGAAAATGAAAAATACCAAGTTGTACTGCCTACACAATCTGGATGGGAATTCCTTGGAAGACAACAATCTCGGCGTCGCCGGTTTCCTTCTTGTGTCCACAGCAGTCACAGCTTCCATTGCAGCCATGGTCCTTGGCACACTTGCACTTTCCTCCACAGCAGCTACCAGCGCCATCCTTCTTGCCACCATTTCCACAGCATGTCTTGCACTTGGCAGAGCATTTGCCGGTTCCCTTGCAGCAAGTGCAGCAGGCCTGAGCAGCACTCATAGTTCCATTCACGACATCCACGTTGGACCCACCACAGCAGCAGCACTTGCAGTCATCCCCAAGCTTGCCAAAGAGAGCTGCTTCCATATCCTTGCCACCACAGCAGTCACAGCTTCCATTGCAGCCATGGTCCTTGGCACACTTGCACTTCCCTCCACAGCAGCTACCAGCACCATCCTTCTTGCCACCATTTCCACAGCATGTCTTGCACTTGGCAGAGCATTTGCCGGTTCCCTTGCAGCAAGTGCAGCAGGCCTGGGCATCACTCATAGTTCCATTCACGACATCCATGTTGGATCCACCACAGCAGCAGCACTTGCAGTCATCCTCAAGCTTGACATAGAGAGCGGCTTCCAAATCCTTGCCACCGCAGCAGCCACAGCTTCCATTGCAGCCATGGTCCTTGGCACATTTGCACTTGCCTCCACAGCAGCTACCAGTACCACTCTTCTTGTTATCAGCAGTTCCACAGCAAGTTTGGCACTTCACAGCACAAACACCAGAACCCTTGCAACACTTGCAGCAAGCCTGGGCATTACTGACAGTTCCGTTCTCAATGTCAAGGGTGGATCCACCACAGCAGCAGCACTTGCATTCTCTCACTTCGGGCTTGCTGCAGCACATGGTGACGATGCGGCAAGCCATGAACAAGCAGCATCCTCCCATGACGAACAGGGGCCATTCTTCGGGGAGAAGTCCAAAGGCATCCAACGTGAAGAATACCAAAAGGAGGTTCAGCATCCAAAAGAACCGTTCGCGTTTACGTCGGCATTGCTTGCGGCCGTCCGTGCTCAAAAGCTTCAAGGCAACGTCATTAAGAGGTGGGACACTGCCAAGCGGAGCACCGACTTCGTCTTCGACCTTGGCTTTAATTTCGGGGTTACTGTACACCGCCTGGAGGACACGAAGTCGGAGGAGGAAGAGTCCTTTGCCAGACTTGAATTTGCGGAACAGAATCATGACAAACAGAGAAAAGAACAAAATGGAATAAAGCCAGAAGAAATTCATGTACAAGTACATTTCCTCGTGTTGCTTCATTTCCAATGTACGGACACGCTCCAGGCGCACCAACGCATCACCACATGCAGGTGTCACCTTGTTTTGTTCATGCGCCGTCATGAGGCACTTGTGCTTGTGGGGGCACATGTGGCTCTTACGTTCGTCGTGTGTTGGTTGGGCGGCAGGGACGGTCCTTCCCTGCATAATACGAGCCATCATTTCTTCTGGTGTTACCTCCGTCAAGCGACGAGCCATACGAACACGATCCTCAGGAACGGGCTCCTGTTCAGCCTGCTCGAGAACAGATTGGCCCTTGAGGCGGATATGGTGGGTCAAATCATGGACCTCGGGCTGTTCTTGTTGCTCTGCTTCAGGCGCTTCAAGGGTCAGATGGACCATGCTGTTAATCATGTTGTTGACATGGTTGTCATGCTGGATCAATTTGGTAATCATCGATTCCAAAGCCAAGTCCTCTGGACGTTCCTCGTTACCAGCGTTGGAATCATCAATAAACATAATAAACACTGGCTCTTCCGGCTGCACCAAAGTGGGGAGACGAATCGCCGTATCCATCATGCTATCGAGGAGAGGTCCAAGATTCATTGGGTGCAAAGGATCCATGGGATGCATGGGGTTTCCAATTGCGGCAGGGTGGACAATGGGAGGAGGAGCGAGGCGCTCAGGAGGGGAGAAGAGCCAGTTCAAGACAGGATCTTCCCTGGTTTCGCGAGGAGGACGGCAGAAGATTTCCGCATCTGTCTGACACACCTCTTCCATCTTTTGGAGCGCTAATTTATGCATAGGAGACATTGGAGGAGGAGGCGGCGGCGGTGGTGGCCCATCGTCTGCTTGATAAAAGAAAGTAGAAACAAGATACCGGAACAGTTAGATGACCAGTCGCAGAAAAGAAGAAACATTGCATACGAGCCGCTCCACAATCGCTGCCCCATTCTTCTTCACATCTCCAACGCCTACTCCGACAACAGTATTGCAGACAAGAGCAGCAGCTAGCTAGAGAAGACTTACGGAAGTGGGCCGCGGCGGAGCCAGAGAGGAAGAAGAGAACGGAGAGCTTCATCATGGTCTTCTTCGAGGAATTCTGATCGGAATGGCGACACTTCGTCGTCGCTGGTTGCGTTGCTGCATCGCATTTAGCGTGAGTCTCGAATGGGTTGGGTCTTGGGTGGTGACGTTGTACGTGACACCTAAAGACGCACCGTTGCCTTTTAAAACGGTACCAATTAGTGACTCAAGCGAGTCGTCGTTCGATGTGGAGTTCCAAGGGGGCCAAACAGGGGGGGGTGGATGTGGACACGGTGTACCTGGTACCATGTACGGTATCCGTTCCGGTACCATGGTACGGTACCTGGGAGATTGCTGGAGATTCTCCCATAAAAACGTAGTTTTGCTCTTTTGCTCTACAAAGTAGTCCTTTAGAAAGCAACCATTTCTTTTTGTTGGAAGATCAATGGGTTTTTTGCTTCGCATGCAGATCCAGAAGAAAAAACCTCTGCAGAACATGTCTGCTTCCGAGCTGAAGTGATTCTGCTACCTTTACCAAGTTGTCGCCGCTACAAATACCTGAGGAAATGATATCTGCATGAATTCTATCTGGTTATACTAAATTCTTCACAAAGCAGATTGCAAAATCAAAGCACCATTGCTCCGTTTCATTACTGGCGTCAACAACTGGGTTCACTTGTCATCCAGTGCAACAACTCCGGGAAGTGCCTTGCCCTCCAAGAGCTCGAGGGAAGCACCACCACCAGTACTGATGTGGCTCATGTCCTTGGCGCGTCCAGATTGTTCCGTGGCAGCAACAGAGTCTCCACCTCCAATAATGGTGATGGCGCCCTTGTCCTTGGTCAAATCGGCCAAAATGTTCACAAGATCCATGGTTCCTGCTTTGAACTTTTCAAACTCAAACACACCCATGGGACCATTCATGATAATAGTTTTGCAGTCAGCCAAGGCAGCCTTTTGCTCCTCAGTGGTCTAGAAACGAAGATAAATCAATGAAACGGCCATGTCATCAGTACAGCAGCACCGCGCAGCAACCAAATGTGACCAACGCAAATAAAAACTCACCTTGGGACCATTGTCAAGACCCATCCAACCATCTGGGATTTCTCCAGCAGGAACAGTTTTGGTATTAGCCTCCTTATCGAACTTGTCTGCCACGATAATGTCGGCAGGAAGCAGAATTTTCTTTCCATTGGCATCGGCCTTTTCCAAGACCTTCTTGGCCATTTCCACAAAATCATCTTCGACCAAGGAAGTTCCTACAGGCTTTCCTTGGGCCTTGAGGAAGGTAAAGACCATACCGCCTCCAATAATAATAGTGTCGCACTTATCAAGGAGGGATTCCAAAACAGTAATCTTGGTAGAAACCTTGGATCCACCGACGATGGCGGCCATAGTCTTGGGATCACCAGATGAGACAGCTCCATCCAAGTACTTGAGTTCCTTGGCCAATAGCAATCCTGCGACGGATGGCTTGAGGAATTTGGTCACACCCTCAGTGGACGCATGGGCACGATGAGCGGTACCAAAGGCATCATTCACGTAGAGGTCAAAGGGAGCAGCCAATTTCTCCACAAATCCAGCATCATTCTTGGTTTCCTCCTTGTAAAATCGAGTATTCTCCAGCATGATGACATCTCCTTCCTTGGCAGCATCCACGGTTTTCTTGACTTCCTCTCCGATGCAGTCACCAACAAGAGGAACGGTCATTTTAAGGAGTTCTCCCATACGAGTGGCGCAGGGAGCCAAGGAAAACTTGTCCTCTGGTCCATCCTTGGGACGTCCCAAGTGAGAGCATACCGTCACAATAGCTCCCTTTCCTTTCAATAATTCAATCGTAGGGAGCGAACAGCGGATACGAGTGTCGTCGGTAATAGTCTTCCCATCCAAGGGAACATTCAGATCGCACCGAACCAACACCTTCTTGCCCTTGAGATCGGCATCGGTCAAATCTTCGACGGTCTTCTTGGTAGCCATGGTTTCTTAATTTAAGTTTAGAATAAAGCAAAGCAAAAGTTTTAATTGTGGTCAGTTGTTGTTCCAATATCCAACAGCTCTTTTCTAATAACTTCTTCCTCTCGGCGAGACAAAGATTTGTGTCTTCAATGCAGCTGCACGCTCGGCGGCCACGTAGCACTGGATCAACCGATTTGAGAACTCTGATGAGGAAAGATACGGTACGATCCAAGATCCAAAATGGCAGTAGGAGGGTTTAGACGGTTGGGTGCCTCTTTCTAGCTTTGGCTTCTCTTTGTTGGCACTCGTGGGCCTCTGCAGGTCTGCTCGGGCTGTTGACACCCCATCTCATGACGCCGCAACCCGCTGTGCTAGCTATCTTGCTACCTCACTACAATGTACCGGTACCAGGTACTGGCTACCGGTATTGGCTACTAGTAGTAGACTCTTGGAAGGCAGTACATGTACAATTCAAAAAAGTCAGCCAACACGCGCATGTTGCAAATAGGTATGGCCATACGTCTGTACCGGTACCGGTACCTCTCTTCTCCAATCTATTAGAAGGAGCTCCAAAGCGTGCCTTCATTGGACGGTGCCAAACTGTATTGGCTGCGACAGCAAAATCCAGGCCTGGCAAAACGGTAAATCACTAGCTAGTCCTAGATGAACCGTTCTTTGTATGAAAAGCGAACATAAAACATGCATCCAGAGGATTTCGAATTTGAGCCAGATAGTGAAGCAAGACAATATAACCGAGGTCATCCCATCCGTAATAGTAGCCGTAGAGGTAGAGGTACTCGCCGCAGCCGAGGACATAGCCGCTTCGCTTTCATTGCAAGCCGCAGAGTAGAGGTACTCACCGCAGCCGAGGACATAGCCGCTTTCATCGCAATCCTCCGAAGACGATGAGTGCGAGTACGAAAGAGGCGCCGGCTGGTATCGACCACTACATCCGGGACCTGTACTCCAGTGGACGGTTCCCCAAGGTGGACGACAAGGCATGGTGTTCTTGGCGGCTGTTGGCAAGACAGGAGTGCTCTGTGAAAGCTAGGACTCCTCTAGTGGCGGGATGTTGGATCGGCATCTGCAGAACATTTCCCACGGGAGCAGTCACGGAGTCACATCCCCTGTATGAGAGCCCTTGCAAGGCTGCTGAATCATTCGATCAATGCACTTCAACATGATGCGGCAGGCAACGCTGGTCTCGGGTGGGCTGAGGCCCCAGCATGCCAAGCTTTGCTCAGAGACAAGGGTCAGCTTGTTCAGATGGCCAGGATCAATGAACATGCCGCTGGCAAGAGAAAGGCTGCTCCAAAGCAAGGTGGTTTGACCAAAGCCAAGCTGTTGACCCCGCACAAGCTTCCAGACATGAAGGGTTGGGCAGGGTCCTGGGAAAGTCCATCAAAGACAAAGTCGAGATGCAGGAGGCTCTGCTGCAGTCTTTGAGGGCAAGCCAGAAAAAGACCATGTATTCCACTCCCACTAGCTAGCTAGCTTGGTGGTTGGGCCCCAAGGGGCCCAATCTTTATGGTTCAGAGCCCCCTGCGGGGGCTCAACCTTTATAGTACTAGCTTAAAAAAAATTCAGTATGAGCTAGCTAGCTAGCTAGTACTAGACTACACGTACTATCTAGTGCCTCGTGTTTGGGTGTGACCAGGTGGAGCTACATCGGACCAAAAGGTGCCACCACTGAAATGGCAACAACTCCATGAATATTGGTCCGATTGAGCTGATCTTTGAGCCTATATCACTACTAAAGTAAGCCTATTGCCCTTTGATAGTATCATTCTATAGCTACTGTTACCTAAATAGGGGTCTGCGACGGCCATGGTCGCTCTTTTTCTGTAATAGGTTGCGAACTGGGGCTAGCTCCACTTGGTTCAAAGCACTGTGGCAGCCCCCGCATCCAAGTCCAAGCACGCAGATCGCCGGCTAGGCTACAAAGCAATGTTAGACAAAGGCGTAACAACAGCAACAAGGGTAGTGGCTCCAATTCCAGGTATTGGGGGGTTGCAAGAGCTGTCACTCACCATTTTCTGTTTCTTTCTCCGCATCCAATCCTTCTTCGCATCCACAATCCAGCCCCTTCACAAGTGTTTGATGGAAAGCCAAGCAACCGGAGAGCTTTTCAGGTGACTGGCCCACCGGCACAAAGCACTGCATATATTCGAGTCCATCATCATTGTCGGTGAATGCAAGCTTCAGGAGAAAATGCTTCCTGCGTGATCTTTCACTCTGTCCAAGAGTGTCCTCGAGAGTGTAGTGGCAACCAATCGGCAACTGGATTGGATAGTCAAAAGCAGGGCCCTTCACTCTCTTTTGGCCACTTGGTCCTGGAAGAGACCAGTTGCCTTGGATCCAAACACGATGGAGGGGACTGCTCCCATACCGTTCCAGCTTCAAGATGCCTTGAACATGATCAATCCCAGCTCGGAATTGATACTTGAACCGACAGGAGACGCCACAGAGCTCGGATAGGATGTGCCCGTCGACATCACGAACTGGTTCCCAGCTTGGTGGAGGGGGCTGGAAGCTGATCGAAGGCAGTGGTGATGGAACAGATGGATGCTCGTGCATTGGCTGATCATAATAATAATCGAGGGCTTCGAAAAGGTTGTGGTCTCGACAATAAGACACAACAATGCGATTGAGCTCGTCTGGGGAGAAGTGGAACAGCAATTGACCAGTAGCAACAAACCAAAACTGAACGATTGTCATACAGATGCGGCCGACAAGACGACCAACAAGACCGATGGTAGCACGGAGAGCAGCACGCATCATGTTGGTGGTGTTTACAGTCAGCATTGTCCTGTTGGCAAAAAGAAGTGACGAGCAATGAGTGAACCAAGCAACAAAGTCACACAAGCTGCATTGGCAGTGGGATGTTCTCACGTACAAAGAAAGGACTCGACTCCAAAGACAACAAGAAAGCCCCGCCACTTCTTTGGTCGGTTTGAATGCAATCAAATGAATTCCTTCCTGCAAAAATCCGAGGAAGGATCTGCCGGCGGGATACTCCCAACGGCGAAGCTGCCCAAATCTTGTAAGCAACACACTTTTGGCTCACTTTTCCGGCTGCCTTGATCCAAACAGTGCAACCATGAACAACAACAAGAACCGTGCTCTTATCCAAAAACTCTCCCTCACCTTTGTGGATCCTCGAGATGGTTCCAAGGTGATTATTGGGGTTCAAGCCAAGATTCCTGAAGGTACTGGACCGCTCCGAGTCGAACTCATTCCTGTTTTGGGCTCTTTCGATGAGGAAGCTGTTGGCTTTGCTCCTATCCTTAACCAAGTGCGTGACACCACTTTGCCTCGCATTCCTTGCCCTCCCCTTGTCGACTTGACCAGCAAGGAGCAAGATGAACCTGTCGACTTGACCAACGAGCAAGATGAAGAAACGAGTGTCGAATCGGAGACCAAGTCGGAGACTAAGTCGGATGAAGTGCCTTCCGAGGACGAGGAAGAGACATCCGAAGAGGAAGAGGCATCCAAAGAGGAGGAGGCATCCGAAAAGGAAGAGGATTCTGATGACAGCGAGGACGAAAGGGCTTTTGCCGAAGCCTTTGCTGACCTTGACGCAGTGGATGAAGCCAACGCCGTGGACAACAATGCCCGTCTCCCAACTCGTCGCAACCCTCGTCGCAACCCTCCTCGCCGCAACCGTCGCACTACTCGCGCAGCGGCATCGGCCAAATTCGATGAAGATGACGAATTGGATGTCTTCCCCATGTCGCAAGATTTCTTCTGAAGCCGATCGTTGCTATTTCCAACTGAACCACCCGAACAAGAATAACAAAAGAAAAAGACAACTATAGTTAGTAGCAATAACAAATATAACAACGTATTGATTGGAACCGCCATCGTCAGCGCATCGCGTCAGTATGAGACGTCATCTCGCTTGTAGTTGTGTTACCGTGTAATGAAGTTCGGAAATTTGGCGGAGAAAAGAACCCTTTGTCACTGTGCAAAAAGCAGTACTTGGGGTCCGTGACCTGACTGGCTCCAGCTCCGGCCGAGCCAAACTTCACTCCGAACAACCTTTTCTCACATGATATGGCACCATTCTCAAGTTTTGTCGATGAAGATAATGATAAGCCAAAGACACGACGGCTGGCTGCTCTTTCAATAGTCAACAGATGGGATTGGTTCATGTGACAATATTTCGAGGCGGATTGGCGCTTGAGGGAAACTTCTTTCGCGGCTACATCTTTCGCGGTTACTCGGAGAGAGCAGACGGTTTTCTCCGAGTACCGGTAGTGTGGGTGCCATTGTTGTAGTTGCTCCGATCGTTGAGCATTGCAATCGATATCACCATGGCGAAAGACCGGAAGCCAAACATCACGAAAGGAAGTTGGGTGGAAGAACGAAAGAAGCCCAAACGCCATGGGAAGGTCTTAAAGGCTGATAGAGTTGACGGTACCAAGCACCACTGGCTCGTTGAATTTGAACAACCTGACGGGTCAAAAAAAAAAGAAGTGAAATCATCCGCACAGTTAACTCGATCGGAACTCCAAGGCCCCACTGTACAACAAACAAGCGAACCGACAGAAGCACCAGCAGAGGCACCAGCAGAGGCACCAGCAGAGGCACCAGCAGAAGCTCCAGTTATCCCAAGGGAAATGGCTTTTGAATCCAATGCCAAGGAAAACCAACCTGATTCTACATCCAGTGGCAAGGTCGAGACGCCCCCCAGACCCAAAAGGAAGGCAGCAATGAATCACAAAGTTATCAACACACCAAGAAAGCCAACCGATTTGGATTCTTCCTCTTCCTCTGCCAGTGATGCTTCGGATTCAAGCTCGGGCAGCAGCAGTGATGAAACGGATGACGCATCTTTGGCTCCCAGTCTGGCTTCAGCCTCGGCCTCGTCTGCCAACACCAGCCATGACCAAGTGCCAGAATACAATTGGCAGCTGCATCTCCAGCAAATGCAAATCCGTCAACCACATTTAGAATCAGATTCCGAATCCGACGAGGATGCTTTCGCTGTAGTCGATGACGAGAGTGAGGCATCGGAGGATGAAGTGCAAGCTTCCACCCCAGCACCAGCACCAGCGGCCACGGATAATACCAGTGTTTCCTCGAATCCTGGAATGTACTTCCCGAATGATCCGTTCGAGGATGTTGAGCCATCCGATGAGCGAGACTTCGAAAAAGAAGAAGAGCATCGGTTGAAAATGGAGATCTACAAGGCAGAGAAGCAAGCTCTGCTTGATGAAGAGTGGTCCGTCTCCTTGCAACCAGAAAAGCCTCCTCTCACTATCGGCGCAATCGTCGACACCAGAGGGAAGAACCCAAAGCGTGGCGTGATAGTTGATCAAAAGCCAGACAAGAGCAAATGGATTATTCGATTCAACAACAGCCAACGTCTTGTGGAGCTAAGCAGTCAATCGCTGGTCCAAGTGTGGGAAGTAGACTCGTACACTTGGAAGATTGTGAAGGATTCGGTGCCAGATGATGACACAGAGGTTGAAGACTACGACGTAATTGGACTCTGCGGCTTTGATTTCAAACAGTTCTCCAGGGAAGTCCTCGAACCAACCATTGATACTGTGGATTATGGGTTCCCGTATCTGAAGCTACTACAAACTCTGTGGCCCGGTGATGTGAAGCGCCAGATAGCGTTGATGAACAAGCAAATTGATGTTGAGAACGAGGGAAGGAAGAAGAAAAAGGCAAAGCAACTGATCAACCATGTGACGGCGCATGAGTTTTGGAAATTCGTTGGCGTTCTCACTTCGGCTGGAGCTTTTCGCATTGGTGGGCATCAGCTTTGGGAGAATGAAAATAAACGAACATTTTGGACAATGACCGATCCCATCAACCTTGGAGTCCATGGGCAGCAAATAATGCCCTTCTATCGATTCAAAGACCTCAGGTCTGTCTTTCCATATGCTTTCCAAGATTTGACTGCAAAGGAAAATGGCGATCCTTGGTATATGGTCCGTGGCATGATTGATGGCTATAATGAAAACCGCAGCCGTACTGTCGCAGCTTCAGCTATTAAGATCCTTGACGAGACTATGAGTTCTTTCAGGCCAAGAACAACGAAGAGAGGCAACTTGCCTCACATCTCTTATATTCCTCGGAAGCCAGAGGACCTTGGAACTGAATTCAAGACTGTTGCTTGTTCAGTGACAGGTGTCATCATTTGGGCGGAGGTCCAAGAAGGAGCCGTGGCAATGCACAAGAAGAAATATTCCGAATGCGGAGGGACGATAGCATGTACGTATCGGCTGGTCGAAAACTCCAGGTACTCCGGATCAAAGCTACGATCCCGAAGGGAAGCCAAAGCAAATGGCTCACCAGAGATCTTTAAAGGAGATTCTTGGTTCACTGGCGTACCTGTGGCAGAGTGGATGGCAGAACAAGATTTTGCCTACGTCGGAGCATTGAAAACAAACAGCCGACTGTTTCCAAATGCAGAGATCGACGAGAAGATGAAGGAGTGGCCGAGTGGCTCTTACATGGTGCTTGAGTGCCATACTCCAAACGGCCATGATCTTATTGCTATTGGCTACAGATACAATCGGAAGAAGACTCTTCAGTTCCTGGCGACGAAGAATGCTGGCTCAACGAAGGCTGGTAAACCTTACGTTGCCAGGTTCGCGGACTCGGTTGGAAACCTGCACGAGAGACCTATTCCTCGTCCCGCTGTTTTGTCTGAATATTTTGCCGACAGCAATGCTATCGATAGACACAACCATGCTCGTCAAGGAGAGCTCAAACTTGAGAAGCGTTGGGTCACACATGATGGGTTCTTTCGCATCATAACAACACTGATTGGCATGACTATCACCGATTGCTGGAAGCTCTTCAAGCATGGTGTTGGCGACAAGGATCAAAAAGAGATTACTATTGTCCAGTATGCCGACAGGCTGGCAGCAGATTGCACTCGAAACACCTTGCGTGATAAACCAGGCGACTCCGGTGGTATGTACATCAACGTCGAGGAAGAGGGCCCCCCAACCTGTGTTGCCGGAAGGCCGCAAGCTGCAATCTCTCCAGTTACAGTTGCTTCTACTGTTGAGTCCGTCATTGACGAACATAGGTTTGCCGACAACTCTGACAGGGAGGATGATGGCAATGGCCGACCAAAACGACGAACTTGCCAGTTTGCTGGCTGCACAAAGAAGACTCAGAAGAGGTGTCAACACGTCTCCTGCAGATGTCATCGCTACAATGCTAATGGTCCAACCAAACGAGGCGTGTTTTATTGTGAAGATCATCGCAGCGAGCATCACAAAGAGGTGGCGAAATCGTTCGCGGAGAAAGGCTTCTGGTGATTTTTGGTAACTGAAAAGATCGACCATGGCGCTGGTGCGTACCAGGTAAGCATGAAAACCTGAAATCTGATTGGTTCCTTAGTTTCGTAATATGCTGACGTTGCCTGTTCCTTGGTTTCAACCCAACAAATGGGCCAGGAGTGGATATGGTTGCTTATTTGGAAGGAAACGAGCTGTTGGAGCTAGCTCCGGAGCTAGCTCCATTTGACTCCCGCGGTAAGTTGTCGACGGCACAAGCTGTTTCATCTCCATTTGCGTACTAACAATGCGATCGTTGTCTTTCCTGTTGCTTCTGTGTAGGGATGTATGCGGTTATTCGACAGTATCATGGATTGGTTACGTGTCGGCGGCAGTATGGTGGAATGGAGCTATCTCCACGGAGCTACCTCCACAATGGCCGATTTCGAACGCATCCAAGTCAAGTCTACAGACCAGATAATGATAGAGAAAGCTCTTTTGGTCAAAAGCAGTGCCTAGACTCACTATTAGAGAGGTCGGATGACCATATTAGAGGTGGTGCCAAATGGGGCTAGCTCCAAAAATGGCTCCCAGACACGAGGCACTAGTACGGTACTAATAGTAACCTGCAACCGGTACCGGTACCGGTGGTACGGTACCACCTGAGAGTGACGGTCACAGCACCTCGAGGTAAAAAGCCCATTTGATTGAAACGGAGTAAAATTGACGATTTGATTAGGCATAAATGACTTTCCAAGAGAATAGTCTGATAATTGTCTGAAGAGAAACCATCCTTACTTCCATAAGACAATGGTGAGATAAGTGTCAGACGATTGTCAGACAATCGCTAAATCTTATTTCAGATGATCGCTAAATCTTTCAGACGATCGCTGGTTACTCTTGGCATTATTCGGTACTGCGTTCAACTGAGTACTAGATGTTCCGAGTCATCGCCAATAATCGTCTGAAAAAGTGGGGGCTTCGCCAATAATCGTCTGACAGAAACTGTCTGACATAATCGTCTTAAAATAAAAGACAGTTGTCAGACGATTATAAGTTAATTGTCAGACGATTAGAGTAATCGTCTTATGACTGCCTGATATGACTTAAGCAACATAAAATTCACTCACAAAATCCAGTTTTTACACAAATAAAGAACCAATTGGAGACCTTTACCTCGAGGTGCAGGAGAGAAAAAGATACAGTAGTAGAGTGATCTGCCCATTAAGACCCGCAGGAGATTAAGACTATTGTAATATTCTAGGCTGATACCTTAAGACTATATTATTATTATGGCTATATAGCTTAAGACCTGGCTGAAACTAGGGCATTCCAGTAGCCAAAGCAGCTACTAGAGCTGCTTTAGGCTTCAACTGTACCTGTAGCACATCAGGCTTGGACTCAATCCTGTTCTCCAATTCAATTACCAGGCTTCCCTTGGCCAATTTGGTGTCCGCTTTGGACCCAAAGTAGACTGTCAACAGGAAACGATCTCGGGCTTAGTCAGGGAAGCAACAACCTGCTTTCGCCCGAGCTTCTCCTTTGCCTTTGGAGCCAAGCTGTTGAGGCTTTCTGTGGCTTGGGTTTCTTTTCCACTGCTTGCTTCTTGTGTAGCTCGTCGATCTGAGCCAACTATCGGTGAGTATCTGCTTGTTTTTCAATGTCAGCAAGGCCTTTTCATCATTGACCAAGGCAGCGTGATTCTTAACCTTGCCACTCCCATCCAGTCTCCTCCTGGCAGCTTTCATCTTGTTCGTTGCCACCACATTCTTATGAATAATCTTTCTCTTGGCCGCCACCGTCTCGACTGCTCCGGACAGCTTCTTTCGATTCTGCTCCGACATGGACACATCCAGATGCTTTGACGGTGACATCTTGGCATCAAACATTGTACGCTTCTCGCACATGTGCTCGAACAGCTCAAGACCCTTCTTTGCTTTCGGCTTGAGCAGGAACATGTCCAGCCCATCATTAGCCGTCTTCCGCTTGGCTTCAGCCGATGCAACTTCTGGATCAACAGCCGCTAAGGCTACTGCCTCTTTGGAGGGAAGCATCCTATCGAGCTGCGAAGGATCTTCCACTGCCATTTCAATACAGACCCGCAAATTCTGCAACTGACTGGCAGGGACGAATGTCTGCTCCATAATGGCAGTGATGCATTCGACTGACCAACAATCGTGCAACTTGTAGACGGCCAATGCCGACTTCTTTTCTTCTGGTGTCATTCCGTGCCAAAAGATGGCAAAAGCGAATACTTATCCAGTGATTGAGTCTCGACTATCACTGGTACGTGTCTCATGCTTGGTTCGGCCACTAGCACCAACGACTTTGGTAGAGCCGTCAGGGCAAGCCATGAAGCATGTTTCGTCTCCTCCGGTGATGAAATGATCCATTACCTCACCAAAGGATTTCCCGGTCACATTACAGCGGCCTTGGTTCCTCTTACGAAGTTCTTCGAAAGCACCATCAACGGTCTTGTGCCAACGGAACTGTTGCTGCACATTAATATTGGTTCTTTTGTAGTCGAGGCTTGAGCTACAACCGTCTTTGGCTTGATGATGCTAGGATAAGACTTCAATAAAGTACGGTGGAAATGCTCCGAAGCCTGCTTGCGAGTGAGGTTGGGAGCAACGTCTTGGATCATGTCTAGGCACTCTCTAGCGGAGGCTCCATCATTGCCTCTATCCATCCTGGCTGCAACTGTGGCAACAAACACTTGATCCTTTTTCGATATCACGGGGCGTGTTCCTTGGCCATTGATAATTGTTCGTCTTTTGGATTCGTCTTTACAGACATGAGCTTGAACGTATTGTAGGGAATACCAACTATCTTGGCGAATTGAGCCATAGAGACGGTTGGCTCTCCATTGGAATCCAGAGCCTTCCACTCCTGTTGAGCCACTCCTTCTTGGCAGAGTCAAACTGCGGCTTGTTCTTGGGTCCAGACCAATTCATGCGCTTCCTCTTTGGCGCATCAACCTTTGCGGCAGCAACAGGAGGAGCCTTCTTTACCGATTGTTTCTTCTTCTTTGTTGCTTTCTCCTTCTCCGTGGTGGATTTGAATTTGGTTGATCCCTTGGACGGCCAACACCTCTCTTCTTCACAGGAACGGTCTCACTCGCAAGAGTCGATCTCTTGGGCCTGCCGCGTCTCCTTTTCTGCTTGAAGAAGTCCGTAACGTTAGCCTGCTTGTAATGGTCAACGTACTTGATCTGGAAGTCCCTATCATGATCGTAATCCTCTTCGTAATCCTCTTCATCAATGCCATCGTCTTCTTCGTCAATGCCGTCTTCTTCGTCAATGCCATCGTCTTCTTCGTCAATGCCTTCGTCAATGCCATCGTCAGTGCTGTCGGAAACGGCCATCTTGAGAGGAACGAGTGTCGGTAGACGAACGATAAAAGAAGGAGTGTCGATAGACGAACGATAAAAGAAGGAGTGTCGATAGAGGTGCTTCGATAGAGGTGCTTTATGCATGTGCGAAGAGACGATAGACGATAGAGGTGCGAAGCAACGTACGATAGAGGTGCGAAAGATAGATCTACCGCGTACCGCGGAGTTTCACTCGATAGAGGTGCGTACGTAGGATCCTACGTATATTCAGTACTAGAGGCACGACTGACGTCATTCGGTCTTAATCTGCAGCCAAAAGAATTCGATGACCGTTGACTGGATATCTTCAACCGCCCGTAACTCCACCAATAAGTACACTATCAAGCTGCGAGATTTATGGTATACTCAACTACATGTGTTCTATCGATTCCCCTCTTTACATGTACTATATTCGATATACAGCCGTGAAGATAATATTGCGCAAAACGGTGGGTCTTAAAGGCCAGATCACTCTACTGTTCTATATTTCCAGCATTTTTTCTCGGATAGCCTGATGGCGCTGTCGATGCACACATGAACTCTCCGAGACCACGCGGGAGATAAGAGGATGAATTTCGACCATTGAGCAGCTTTCAAATGGCAGCAATGAGATTGCTGCTGCTGTATTGTTTGTCCTTGCTGGCCGTTGTTTCGTCATCAGAAAGCGGGGAAGATAAATTGTCTCTTCGTGTGGCTCGACAGCGAACAGATACCCGGATCCGTCAGCCTGTCGAGCGAATTGTGGACAAGAAGGCCCTGAAAGAGATAAATGGAGATGCGCTATCCAAAGAGTTTATCTATCACCCTCCTGGGCACGAAGCCAACGTAGAGGACTACCCCTTCTTTGCTCACTGGTCCCATGCGATGTGTGGCGCCTCCATTGTTGCCGAAGACATTCTTTTAACTGCAGGACACTGTGCCCGCAAGGCGGTGGATCCTCTCAAGCGCAAGCAAGTACGGATGTTGAGCACACACCGTGAAACCGGCGGTTTTACCCGTCACATTGCTCATTTGGAGATACATCCCAAGTACAATCAATACGTTCAGGAATTCGACTTCCAACTCATCAAGGTGGACAAGAGTCTACTAGTCGATGACAATGGTGTTGCCACGGGAGCCAAGCTCGTCAGGATCAACAGAAACTCCCAAAATCCCGAACCTGGAGATCCTGTTCAAGCAGTTGGCTTTGGGACGGTAACACCTGATGGCACTTCCGGAAACTCGATGGTTCTCATGGATGCTACTCTTCAGGCATTTGCCAATGATCACTGCCATAAACAATATGGACCTGGAAGGATTGTGGAGGAGATCATGATGTGTGTCGGGAGCGAGGATGGTTCCGTAGACACCTGCCAAGGTAATTGGTGTTCTTCCTTAGCAGATGATTGAAACTTTCTTGCTGTTGCTCAACCCAGTTGACTGTTTTTAGGTGATTCTGGGGGGCCCATGCTTGATAAGAACAACGTGCAACTTTCTGTTGTCAGCTGGGGTCAAGGTGCGTTGCAATACAGGGAACCGTGGTAGCTTGCCGCTTCGTGGCTTTGTGACATGCTAAAAAACGCATTCAATTCCCACGACGCGACAGGGTGTGCTCAAGCTGACCATGCTGGAATTGGGAGTCGAGTCAGTGCCATTGCAGATTGGATCGATGCTCAAATATGTCGTCTGAGTGCGTTTCCGCCAACGTCCTGCACGCCCAAGGACACGGTCAGCTACAACAATCGTCTCCCCATGATGAAGGAAGGAGGTGATGACACCCAACAGACGCACGAAGACACCTTTGATTTGCGAATCACAGTCAGTCACGACAAATTTCCCAAAGAGACTGCATGGAGCCTTACTCACAAGGATTCCTTCACTCTCCTTTACTTGCAACCCTTTTCAAGCGTGTTCGAGCCATATGCTTCTGTTTCCCATGAGTTCCACAACCTAACCACTGGTGAGTATCTCTTTGAGATTGGCGATTCTGGGGAGGATGGAATCTGCTGCGAAGATGGAGATGCTTCCACTATCACCATCTTGAATCAAAACACCAACAATGTACTCTGGGAGCATCCTGGTAAGTTCGAAGCCTATCTTGGCGTCACGTTGATTATTGGAGGCGATGGTAAAGTAGTGGATAAGTTTGTCTCCACTGAGTTTATCAGCCCCGGAAAGAATGCTACGATGACGAATTCACAAAACTATGTTAATGACCCCCAACACAACGACAAGGACTGGCCCGGAAAGTTCCCTGAAACGCAAAAAAGCCTGACAGTGAATATCAAACACGATAACCGTCCTTATGAGGTACAATGGTCGCTACATTACTTGAAAAACATTTCAGCCCCTGCAGCGACACAACGCGTCAAGGACGGTGCCAACGTAATCGATGATTTGTGGCACATGTTGCCCTTCGTGAATTCGCAAGACGAAGAAGCAAGTGAAGATGAGAGTAATGGATCATCATCATCGGAGGAGGAGGAGGAGAGCACTTCGGGTACTACGTCCTCTGATAACCAGTGGAGTTCGATCTATTCCTCTCCGCCAGCAGCCAAGGAGCATTCAAGCACCCTAGAAAGCAAGACGTTTTCGAACCTCAAGCCTGGGTTGTATCTGTTTACCCTCCATGATACTGAGGGAGATGGCATTTGTTGTGACTACAGATTTGGATGGACCACCATAACGACTGACACTGGTAAGGGTCTTGATATTGAAGGTCATCATCACAAGGTTTTGTGGCAACACGATGGTGAGTTCAACTACAGAATACAGGCAACCATCAAGTTGGATGAACAAGGAACTTTTGAAGTGGTCTATTCAGAAAGAAGGAAGTGATTATGCAGCAAGTCAGAGTATGGAAACTTCGTATGGGAGTGCGAATACCCTGGATAGCCACATGTAGCTTGTTTGCATTAACGATAGAGAACTGGATTTGCACAATCTTGTCAGCGACTAGCTTTTTGAAAAATGAAAATGGCAGCCCCGGCCTCTTCCATTTCCTCCAGGGATGTCTCATTCAGTGATATGACCTTCCCGCCTACTGCGGTAGCTGGGGTTATCTGATCCGGACGGAGCAAAGCACACATTGTCAAGCCATGTATCATCGCAGTATCCAAAATGTGTCGTTCCAGAGATTCGTGATAGCCAACAGGAGGCTCAACGTCGCTCCTCGAATCACCCACATTACTGTCATCAGGTTCAGTGTCCGGCAAGCAGCTTCGCGGAACATGTGCCAAGACGAAGTAGCCTGTCCGGACGAGACAGCGTGTTGCAGTGCTCAGCAAGAGATCTAGGCACCCAATATCGTAGATACAATCAGTTGCCAGGACGACATCAAACGCTGATGCGCCATTCCAGTCTCCGGCCTTGATTTCACCCCATTCGAGGTGAAGAATAGAATAGTCCTTTGATGCCACGAGCGAAGATTCTTGCATACTAGGACAGTTTTGCTGACAGTTCCGTCGACACAATGAAAGAACTTCATGGTCATTATCCGTGAACGTAACATGGGCTGGCCTAGTGTTCCATACAGCAGGAGACTTCAAAAGAGCAAGCCCCCCCAAACCAGTGCCACTCCCGAGCTCCAAAACCCGCTTGGATTCAAAGACTTGACGGAATTTCATTGCTTCGACTGAATGATTGTCGTTTGTGGAAAGTCTAATATTGGCAGCCAGGGCTTCACACAGTAAGTACGCGCCCATCCACACACTGTGTCCCGTGGCATCGTGAAACCCGTTGGAGAGGTTCACCATATCAAGCGGGGATAAGGATTCAACACATTCAAGATCAATTGTTGCCTTTGAATTGTAGTCCTGTCGAATAGAAAGCATTTCATGCTGGGCAAATCCCTGCAGGTTGGTGCCCAACGAGGGCCACGCTTCTACTTCCTCCGCTTGTTCATTCTCACGGCAATCCATTTGCTGGAGGGCCTCTAATATTTCTTCCAAGTTGCCTTGCAGGGAATCCTCTGGTTCTGTATCTATATTCACAATTTTCACTTTTCTGATGGTTTGATCACATTGGGTGGCCAATGAAGCTGCCTGTCGTAACGATTCCATGGAAGGGATGCCAAACTGTTGAAATGCAGGCGAAACATATTTGTCAAAGTACTGACTTAGTTCCTGCCATTCTTCCTGCGATCGTTCACGCCGGTTCAATCTTCTTGCTTTACACACGTGCTGTGCACATTGGATCAGGACGAGGACAATGTTGGCGCGACTTCCGAAGGAGTCAAAGAAGAGCTGGGTAGCTTCTCCCAGCATGTGACCTTCGACAACTAGGACAATGCTGCTGCCACTTGCATCGGATGATGCCATTTTTCTAGCACTGATGGCACTCGATTCCATATCTCGTAGCAGCCGTACCCAGTCGATTCCCGACCCATCCTCATACGAGACGTCAGAGCGGTCCGCATAAGGCAAGAATGGTTTTGTAAAGTAGTCGTCTTGCTGAAACAGTTTTCTACTTGATGATCCAAGGGAGGCGACAACAGCCTTGGCCAAGGTCGACTTGCCGCTACCACTGCTGCCGTCTATCAGAACAACGGTGACCATTGGCAATCAGCTTGTCATCTTTGGATCTTTTGGATCGAGCGAAGTGCTGAGAAACAAAGCTGGCAGAGCTGCAAAAGCAGAAGAGCGAGGAGGGAGGGAGAGTACCGGTACCAGGTACCATACTACCGCTATCGGTATACCTGTGTACCAGTACCGGTACTGGTAGGTACTGGTACAGAGAAGGAATGGACCAAAAGCTCTGATGAGGATACGTGTTGGCACGGTACCTCGCCTCCTGGTCAGCCCCATCAATCGGCCTGAGACCTAGCTAGTCCAGCGAGGATCAAACAGCATCACTGGTTCTGAGAGCAGGCACGGAGCATGGTTGACTAGACCTATACCACTAATCAACAATCATTCCAACGTGGGGCGGAGAGCAACATCAAGCTTGCATGATTCGATGTCAATTCAAACGGCACCCAAGCATGAAACATGCTAGCTAGGCATCGGCAGTACTGCATGGATACATGTATGTAGCAAGCAATAATCATGATAGCACTTACCGAGTACAATGCAATCCTCAGTGCAGGCTCATGCATCCTTGTTCCTTTTGCCTCTCTGCCAGCAATAATCCCGAAAGAAAGATACTGCAAAGATCACGGCCCAAGCCGAGCCTTGATTGTGACACTGGTTGCAAACAAAACTGGTCACGTGCGAAGATGCGTCAACCAATGCAGGTCGGAAACAGTGAAAAGTCAACTGGGTAATTTGACTTCTGGAGTAACTCTTACCACACCGGTTGACGGCCAACCATCAGCCATGATCAAGTAAGTCACAATTGACCCCAGTTTGAAAAGCAGTGATTGATTCTTCGATTCTAGCTACAATGCCATGCATAGCAAGTGTTTTACAGAGCAGTGCAGGGCAAGAGCGCAAGTACAGCGTATCAGCGTAACTACCCAGAAAGCTTTATGGTAAATCCACGCCCGCCTCTCCCGATACTACTTCCCAGAAGCTCTGAAGTCTGCAGTACCTAAAAGATCACAGCCCAAGCTGAAAACCTTGATCCAGCAAACTTTGTCATCAAACAGCAGTTACCGTGTTACAGATCATGTTACCATCCACCAAGTTGCAAGTCGGCAGGGAGCCAAAGAGTACTGGTTTCTGGGAGAGATAGATAAAGGACAAAAGTACCATGATCCATGATCTATGATCCATGATCAATCAAAGCCAAGCATTTATTTTGCTCGTAATATATGCATAATATATCCGTCTCGACTGTGTAAAGGTACATCTTACGGTACCAGACTGGAATGACCCCAATACTGCAACTGATCTTTAAATACATCAAGATCTTAGTCAAAGTAGGACCTATGAACCGATTGAACTTCAAGTCACAGATGGTCCATTAACCGGTACCACACCAGCTGCTGCAACACAGTGCGCTACTGAGTACTGTAGCTCCTACCGGTAGTGGAATTACCACGGCCACTACATGTACATGACATGTAGCTTGCGATTATGGAGATCCCAGTGTGACTGGTGGCTATGAGTCAACCTGGCATGCACCAACCGGTCAAGCAACAGCAGGACTTCGTCAAGCATGACTTGCATGACCTGCATCTGGATCCATCGGAGAATGAAATAAGACGATGTAATTAAAGCTCTCACAACTCCAAAATCTCAAAGCCAACAAAACACCAAAGATAAACTTTTATTCGAAGCTCTTTTGAAATCATGATCAGCAGCCTACCAAGCCAGATGTTTGCCTCCAGAGCCTCAAAAGCCACCAAAGTCACAAACGAGAACAACTTTTGGAAGGTGTGGGAATCCAGCAGCACCAAGAGCGCAGGAAGCCTCTTCGACGATGAGCACCTTGACCTGGGCGTCCAGCGACACATGCAACTTCCACGATGAATACCGTTTTTTTGAGGACCTCCCGGCCACAGTCGCTGAAAGATACCATATGATTTCCTCCTCGGGATTGTTGGCATTCGCTCCACAAACTCACTCATGAAGTCCGCAAGAGAAGGCGAGGACTGTGATCTCAAGGCAATGCTGATTCCGGCCGTCTGACGGTCAACTGTCAACCGGAATCTAGCCTCCACCCATCTACAGATCTACAGATATACAGAGACAACAAAGTAGCTTTTCCTCATAATCTTATAACATTATTCGTAATACATCTATCGCTACCTTTAGTCTCTTCAACAGATGTTATAAGATCCTTCTATACAACCGATACCACAACAACCGATACCACCACCGATCCGCTACACTGATCGAACGAACGAAACCTCGAACGCACCTCTATCGACGAACGAACCTCTATCCTCGAACGAACCTCTATCCTCGAACGGCACGACGCACCTCTATCGCTCGACGAACGCCGCACCTCTATCGATCGAACGGCACGACGCACCTCTATCGACGAACG